AAACCTGTGAGGAGGTCGTGCAAAAGATTATTAAGATCCATGGGTGAGAAAACGAGGTCATCATAGAAAATTAGTAGTATTCAAGTTGATTAAAAAGTGGCATTTACAAATTTGACATTTCACCTTCAGACCCTTTCCTGAGGAGTTAAACAAGATTTTCTCCAGTTGGATGGAGCTGTGTGAAGACCAGGGCAGACCAGAGATTGGCCAGCGTCTCATCTCTGCTTCCCTCTTCCTTCGCTTCTTATGTCCTGCTGTCCTCAGTCCTTCTCTTTTTGGTCTGACACAGCCTTATCCAGAACCAAACACCCTGCGTACCCTCACCTTAACTGCCAAAGTCATCCAGAATCTGGCCAATTTCACCCTGTGAGTGACCTCTCATCTGCTTAGGAAAAACAAAATACATCACTTTTGCATTTATTCCTGAGCAAAACATCTGCTGACACACTAAAGACGTGTATTCTAGAAATCAGAATTAAGAAATTTTTATTATTTACTTGAAGTGACTGAAATCTTTTATTCTGATCCAGGTTTGGAGAGAAGGAGGAGTACATGCTCTTTATGAACGAATTCCTGCAGCAGCACTGGGATGGTATGAGAGGCTTCCTACAAACAGTGTCCAATTTAGACACCGAAATCCCAATGACTTCCTTCGATGGTTATGTGGACCTGCCTCTGCGCTTGGCTGTGCTGCATGGCCTACTGGTAGACATCATCTATCAAAGGAACCAGGTATGAAAGCAAACCAGTGAAGTCCAGTTTGGTAGACCAAATCAGAAGGCAAAGTTTTATATCTGTTCTAAACAGCCAAACACGATTGCAGGGTGAAAAGACGGCCGTCATAAATAGAGGCAAGGTGCGGTTATTATTTAAAGGAGGGGATAACGACTAACATTTTCAGAGAGTTACACACTGTTGTAAACGTGTCTCATCTCGACACACCTGGCTAATCCCTGTGAGTGTGAATGTTGTCAGCTTTGGAAAGTTACAGAAAGTGTCAGAGGCAAAATGTGTCTGTATCTATATGTAATTTGGATATGGAGCTAGTTTTGGATGTTTGCATGTAGACGTTTTCATTTCAAGCTCAGGCACAGCTGACTACATTCTGACTGACGTTTGCATGTACAACTTAATGGATTTTTTCTTATTCATAGAAGGTTTCAAGATACTGACTGCATGATTATTGTTTCTTCTTCAGGAAACAATTGACAAGCTGCACCCTCTGCCTTCAATTCTGAATCAGATAACAGAGTCGCTGGGCCCTGAAGCACATCGGATCATGGTTAGCAGGTATGGTCTCTATCTTAGTTGACTTGTCAGCAACTTGTGATATACTACAAGCTTGAACATGGGGGTGTTACATGTTACTTAACCAAGCACTTTCTTGTAGCCAAATAGGACAAGCCCGGCCAGCATACATTCCTCCTAAAGACTTGGGCAAGTACAGCCCTCACCAATCATCCCTCCAGCAGCTTCCTGTAGACTCCAAAGGCCTACGAGACGGGTATGATAGTTGTATTTCTGTTACTGGGCTAAGTTTTTAGAAGTCATTAAGGCAATTTCTGACTGACCCTTAGGTTTTTGTATCAATGACTCATCCGTTCATCAATTTAATTTCTGCCACTTATCCAATATGACTCGTACCGTGCAGATAAACCAGACTTTCTTAGATGCTTGACCTCCAGCTTTGTCCTCCAGGTCATTTAGAAAAGTCCAGAGGTACTCCTAAACCAGATGGCATGTGTAATCCCACCAGCAGGTACTGGGTCAGTCCGCGGGTCTCCTCTCAGTTGGACTTGCCTAGAATACCTCCACAGGTGGTGTCAGGGAGACATTAATCAAATGCTACAGGATTAGATACAGGATGGTTTAACCTGCTAGAATGATTTGCGGATTTGATGTATGGCACTTAAATAATTAATACATTCATTCATTCATTTAACAGGGATGTCAAGCCTCGGAGGAGTATGAGAGAGAGGAAGCCAGTAGCCCGAACTCAGAGTGCTCCACACAGACGTCCTGGTCATGCAAAACATGCCTTGAAGAGGCAGACAAGTTCCGAAACTCTGCCAACAGCTGACAATGAACAAGAGATGGAGACCAACGAGCCACTTATCTCGTCACCAAAAACTGTGAGTACAAAGAGGAGCTGTGAGCCAAGCTCGGCTACTTTGGCTACTGTAGGTGATGTGCTGATGCCACTGCAATAAATAATTCACCTGTTTTTAGTGGACTGTCTTATAATATTGCACTTTATTGCAGTATATAAACTTTTACATTTTTGACATTTATGTTAACACAGAGATAGTATGACTTTGTGTGGTTAATTAGAAGGAATCATGTATACATACTTTCATATTGTTTTAGAGCACCACAATTAAACGTCCACCTGCACCAGTTCCCTGGATCAAGCCTGACTGCCCCAACAGGGAGCCAAGTGAGATAAAGACTGAGAATGAGCAGTTCAGCTTGCTGGATAGGGTATGTCAAACCTCCTACCCACTGAAGTGGCATAAATCTGTCCGTATAGTGTATGACTTAATTATTAAATTTCATAAAATGTCAATTTGTAATTCACATACCAGCATGCTCAAGAGCTATCAGAGCTTCGTCTGGGAATAGAGCAGGTGACAGAGCGTGAGCTGGACATGGCAAAGCGCCTGGAGGACTTCATTATCCAAAGCCAGGACCAGAATACAGTGCTGCAGGCTGAGGTGCAAGAGCTCCAGAATCTGCTGGCTTTGAAAGAAGAGCAGCTCGCCAGTGCCACCTTCAGGTAAGATAGTAGAGTTACACAGTAATGTGCATGTTCCATTTGTCAGCAAGTGTATTCAGTTTCCAAACCAAATATATTTAATTTTGCCTGCGTTTGTGTGTTTTTTAATGAATATCTATATTCAGTCTACATAGTCTGTGTATTGAACACTTTATAATGTTATTAAAGATTAATGAAACTGTTGATGCTTCATTTTGATTGGGTGTAGAAAACAGCTAGGCGGTGTTCTAATAATCGTTATAACTAATTATCAGTAAATTATTTATTTTTCATATAATTTGCTAATGAGGTGTTCTACTCTTGTTTATATATGTGTCTCTCCTTCTGTGTCTGTCACAGGCTGGGTGTGATTGAGGAGGAGAGGGAGGAAGATGAGAGGAAGCTAGGTGTTGCCATTGCAGCAGCCGAGCGAATGAACGTACTGGTAAGAGAGACAGAAAAAAGCCAATTATAAAGCTTTGTTAAAAGAATAGTTCAGTTTATATATCTGTCTGGCTAGGACCAACAAACACTGAACATGCTGGTGTATTGCATTATTGTACACAGGCTAACTTGTAACTATACTAAATTTTGCTGCTTCAAGGTGAAGTGCATTTAATTTCAAGTGTTTTGTAGCTGAATGTTTGCACTGTCTGTCCCGCGCAACGTTTGTGCAGTAGTGCGTGGTATATGGGAGGTAATGAGAGATGTTTTCTATGTTAACAGGAGGAGCAGTTTGCAGAACTGCTGAAGGAGCTTAACCAGTTTAAAGAGGCCTACATAAGTGGCCAAAACAACATACAGCATCCAGAAAAGCCACACATCAACAGCAACTGAACCCTGACAGTAAAAAGATTTAGAGTTTCAGCATCAGAATTTTGTGTAAATACATATATACATATGTGTGGAAACCACTGACTGAAGACACGATTATGGTTTCCTGATCAGGTGTACACTTATTTTATGAACATATTCAGAATGGATGTGAACAGGTAAAATCCAGCTGTGAACATGAAACCTACAGGATTTATCTGCATTTCAGCTTTTACTGTATCTCAGCTACAGATGTGTTTGACTTGTAAACATTTCTAATAAATAAATGAACTACAATCTAAAGTGTTTCTGCATTCTGCAGTGTGTGACTGGAAGTGGTGGAATAAGTACAGGCCTATCTACCTAGCTACTTTACTTAAGTATAGTTTTACTTAAATTGAGAATTAACATTATAAGATAAGATAAGATAAGATATTCCTTTATTTATCCCCCTTAGGAGAAATTCAGGTTGACACAGCAGCAATAGGGCAAAACAGGGCAAAAACAGAGAAAGAATATCACCATTAAAATATTACTAATATTATTAATATTAGAAGATATAAAAATATATAAGCTGCTTTATACTTCTACTCCACTACATTTAAGAGGGAAATGTATCCACTACATCTTTTTGGAAGCTACAATTTCTTTGTAGATTAAGATTTTACATGAAAACACATCAACTGTTATCAACTTATATTCACTGCATGACACTATCCATCAGTCTATGTGGCAACCTAAGTAGTTAAAATGAACTACTTCCATCATCAACGAAGATCCTGACAATTAATTTGATATCCCCGTTAATTTCTTTTTTCGATTTCCAAAAACAATAAAATATTTTGGTTTTCTTAATATCGAGAGATAGTTTATCAACATCAAGTTGTTATTCATTTGCACACATTGCTGTGTATTTTCCAAGAAAGCTTTTCAGCCAAGAGTAGGCTAACCCATTACCTCTTATCCCATATCTTTTTTCTCTATAACTGGAAGTGATCTATAGCAGGGGCCCCCAAACTTTTTCATTAAGGACAACCATAATAGATTACTATTAGACTAACCCGATTTAAGAGGATTTTGTCTGAAGGAATCCACTCTAATTTTTAAAAGGTTTGAAGATAATAAAGTCCTCATACTCAATCAATGATTAAACTAGGACCACTATAAATGATCAAAAACAGTCAACCATACATGTCTACTATAGAATCAATGTTATCTACAAAGTTTTATGGAGTTATAAGTCCAACAATGTTTTACTAAATGTCATAGTTTTGACTCATTAAGTCACAAATTGACAAGAAGCCACGAGTGATTTCTTTAATCTCATCTTGTCATTCCTGACATTTCATCTATTTTTTTTCTTCTTGGCGGAAATGGGCTTCCATACAGAGGACTGCTCACTGCTCCTCGGTTTGTTATCTGCTGCTTACGACTGAGTGCGTGACAGGACGGGAGGGAGCAAGGAAAGAAGGAGAGAGGGAAAGAGGGAAAGAGGGAGGGACCATGACTAGTCACACTCTTGATCAGTAACCAGAGGAGCCGTCAACACCTGACCCATTAACAGACCCGAACAATACTAAGGCAGAAAGCAGTCCAGGTGAGTTCTCCTGCATTTACTGTGTAGGCTACTTAAGGTATTGTAAGGATTTTATGTAAATATATAAAAACGTTTTACTCTGATTTGCCTCTTCGTGTTTTCAAACGTGTGAACGTGGCTTAAATATTAACTTATACCTCGGCGTCGCGTTCGATGTTCAAACCGCGTCTTGAGTTACGTTCGTCTTCATTTTGCGCTGATAATTTAATTTAACACTACTATGTTGCTAACAAAGTGCGCCGAACTAGAAGGAAACATTTGCCACTGAAAATAAATGTTGAATTATCGAGTCGAGCAGCTCTTTAGTTTCGTTTTTCGTTTTCATACCAATGACGAGTTAAGTTTCGTTTCTCCCTCGCAGCCTCACTCGACCTCCCATCATGGCCGACTTCGACGAGAGTCAGTTTTCTCTCATGAGTCTGGAGGATGAGCTGACCTGTAGCATCTGTCTGAGTACCTTTAACTGTCCGGTGACCATCCCCTGCGGACACAACTTCTGCCAGGACTGCCTCCTCGAAACCTGGAAGGACTCCTACAGCTGCCCTCAGTGTCGGACCCTCTTCGCCACCAAACCGGAGCTGAAGAAAAACACTGTCCTCAGCACCGTCGTGGAGACCTTCAACTCCAGGGCGAGCAAGGAGACCACCGTGGAGGGATTGGAGAGCAAAGCCCAGAAGAAGGATGTCATACGTTGTGATACGTGCATGGAGGCAGAAGCGTCGCGGACCTGTCTCACCTGTATGGCGTCTTTCTGTGAGGAGCACCTGCGGCCTCACCGGGAAAATCCGATTTTCCGTCCCCACCAGCTGACGGAGCCAGTCGGAGACCTGATGGCGCGTATCTGCCAGGACCACCACAAGCTGATGGAGTTCTTCTGCAGCCAACATGGCCGTCCAATCTGCAGCTTCTGCCTCCAGCAAGCCCACAAAGGCTGCTCCTTCATGACCCCTGAGGAGCAGAGGAACCTGAAGGAGGTGTGTGTTTGTCAGAATTCACCGGAGAAGTTTTAAGAAATGGTTGAAAATTAGTTTGTTGTGCTCACAGGAGTGTATCCAGACAGTGTGTCTGTGATTCTACATAATCTGCAGAAGACGCTGTCAACTGTTTCCATATAGGGACTATTTGTTTGGTAGAAAGTAGTAAACTGTTTTTTTGCCTTTCTTCTTCCATATTTGTCTATGAGTGGGCTTTTTAAAATGTCTATGGTACCCTGTAGTGGTGATGCTGTTTTTGAGAGGTTTGACTTGATCACCTGAACATAATTGCCAAATCCAAAGTGAACAACCGTTCTGAAACTAAAAGCCAGCATTATGCCCAAAGTTAGCACTTAACCGGGGTTAACAGGTGTCTGTGCATAATGGTCCATGATTCGCTGTGAGCTGTGTCTGTATTAACCAAATGTATCTCATTATTATTTGTAGTTTGACCTGAGGGCGAAGTTGGGTTTGCTGGTTGGGAAGATTACAAAGAATGAGGACGTTATCTCTCAAATGAGGGACATGGAGAACAGGCTAAAGGTAATTCTACTTATTACTTACTTTTACTGTATTAGCCACAATAATGGGGAACATGGTGAAAGAAGCTTGATTTTTTTTTAAACAACAACGAGGGATCTGTGTTCATTTGCAATCCATTAGTTTTTGTGTTGTAAAATGTTACTTTGTGCCGCATTAACCTGTCTTTTTAAACTACTGAACAATATAAGGATCCTCTCATGATCCTCCCCTAGGACTCCGCGACCAACAGGATGAGAGCTTTGACAGCTGACTATCAGCAGATGCGGGATATGTTGGCCCGAGAGGAGCGTGATGCTTGCAGTGCAGTGGAACATGAGCTGGAGACTGGTCAGACCAAACTCAAGGGTCTCATGAAGAAGTTCACTGAGAACATTGATGGCATGAGCAAAGCTAAAGAGGATATCCACAGTCTGCTGAGTCAGTCCCAAACGCTGGCCTTCCTACAGGTGAGATAGCTGTCATCATCTGCAGTAGCTGCAAACTGATCTGAATCATTTAGGTAAATGTAAGGAAAGCAAAAACTGCCTTGTTTGCCCTGACTATACATTCAAATATAAAACAATGCTTTAAAAAGGCTTAGCAATATGTTATTTGATGCTCTGAACAGGTATGGAATTATTCTTGACAGTTGTTGCTGAGATCCTTATTTCTGCCTGCCTCTAACATAGGATGTAGCTACAAACTAAAGGATTTCCCAGAATTTGCACTGGAGGGAAATATATTCATCTGGATATCTATTTTTACATGTCTGTCTTAATACAATACTCATGATGGGCATGAATATTGTATCCTCCTCCTTCTGTTCATACTGGCTGTGAAGAGATCCTTTCTTAAAGTGATTTCAGTGTAAGTGATGGAGGACTTACTTTTACAGTAAGATTTAAGATAACCTGAGTCAGTAAATGATTGCAGTGAAAAGGGTTAAGCTGTACTTAATCTTTTAAACTGGCTGCAAATTGACAATGCATGTTGTCAATTCCACAAAGTATTATACATGAATCAGCCAAAAGCGTGTTAAGTTCAACCCAAGCCTGATGTGAATATTGGGAAACTCATTTTCTAATCTTCAAATTCTTCAAAAATCAAAGAAGACAACTTGTATCCCTCCTTCACAGGCTTCATTTGACCTGCCCCCAGCCACTAACTTTGACCCTCACACCCCTCGAATCAGCCTGGACTCCAAGAAGGTGATGGCAACACAGGCCTTTGCTGCTTCCCTGAAGGAGTTTTTGACAGAGATCCTTAAACAGCCTGTTCAGTCCAGACTACCAATGCTTAAACCAGGTGATTGTGAAATACACTGGATATTGAATCAAATGTTGACTTTATCGATTCTTTCCCTTGTGCAATCATTGTATCTGTGAGATCTTCATTGGAGCTTTGTGTGTGTGTGTGTGTGTGTGTGTGTGTGTGAGAATCATTGAATAAGAGGCTAATTGTAAAACACTATCTTAATGAAGTCCATTTACCATTAACAGAACAAAAAGCACTTCCTGTCTTGGGAAGTACTGGATCTCAGCCTCAATCTGGTATGTTCATCTCTTTTGTATATGTCAATATGTGTGTGGTCTACATACTGAATCTCTAAAGTTACTTACATACATACGTTTATTTCTGTCAAGCACATTGTGTGCTTTGATAGCATTTTGTAACACAGGACTATTTCCAATGTGATTAAATCAAAATGTCTTCTCATTTTACTTTCCCTGTTTCAGAACTACCAGAGTCTCAAAAGCAGAAAAAAATGCCCAGGTCCCACAGTCCAGGTCGTCCACCCATCCAGCCATATTTTCCTGTACCCGTTTATATCCCACATGGAGGCTGGAATCCATCCCATTATGCACAGGGTAGGACAGACAATCGCAACAAACAGTGTAACCAATAGCTATGCAACACAGACACAACAATGGGCTAACAGCAACATAGACTACACCAATTTTCACTGTGATTTTCACATTTTTGTATGGAGCCAAAGGAGGGGGGTCATGTGGGAGATAACATATACAGTACATGGGTGGGGTAAATAAAAAAAATAAAAAAAAACTTTTGCGTTCTCGCGCAAAAAATTTGCTGCCTCCCGAGAAATAGTCTGAGGGATAAAAGCCCTTCCCAGTATCCGTACTGGACTGAAAGTGTGTATTTCTGCTAAAATTTGCCATTTTAATATGGGGGCCTTATGGAGATTTACTCATTTTTGCAGCTAGCCTCAACTGACCACGTGGTTCTCCTTGCTCTGACTGCGTACCATGTCGTTCATGAGGGATAAACTCAGATACAGTTTCAGTACAGCCAACTGAAAACTCAAGTCTTACTCTTTTATGTACAGCATGTATGTTTTCACGACACCTAATTATTTAATAAAATATTTTACTGATTAGTCCTACAGCAATAATGCCAGCTGGCCGTCTGTCTGCAACCTTTTTTTTTCACAAAGCTCTCACCAACAACCAAAACCCAGTCCGAGATTCACTCTTATCGGGTGGCCCGCTCTCTCCTTTTCTCTACTTAGCTTCCTCCATCCTCTTCGGTCTGAAAACGTCCTCATCCCGTTGTCCAAAGCTCCGGTGCTGCCAGTGGGGCTAAGCTAACAGCTGCAAGGCTACATTTCACTGCAGTTACTTTACTGTTCATCAGGAAACTATTTTTTAAATGACAGAGTTGAGGCAGAGCCAAAACCAGTGACGGTGTGTGACTACTTCCATAAAATGTTAGCACTTGACCTGGAACCAAAAGTTCCATAGTACAGGAACAGGCACACTGGATGCAGAGTGGGAATTACAGAGACACCGTTCACCCTATTACAACACAGTGCAAATGATGAACGAAAATGATGGTGAAGCTGTTATTTTAAGGTAGAAAAGTGACATAATGTCGCTCTAGGAAAGTATAGTGATGCCAATCATGTTAAGAATTAAGACTGCCATTATTGCATGTGGTGGGTCGGGTCATGTGGGAACTGGTGGAAACAGAAATGAAAACAAGAATTATAAAAATATCCCTTTACAATGGTATTGTGATATTGGGCAAATTTTTTTAAAGTCATGGATTAAAAGACTTTTGTAATCACAGTATCTGGCATGTCCTCAGCAGAAACAGCAGCTTCTGCCTCAGGATTTACACCTTTGAGCTCTGGAACTTCTGGTATGCTATCTGTCCACATGTGCTTTATACGTGTTGAAAAAAACAACAAAAGCTGACGAGCATTTTATATTTTCTTGCCTGTTCAGAGCTGCAGTGGGCTCCAGGCCAACCCCCACTCCACAGGCCCAACAGTCCAGGTTCTCAATCCAAAGCAGCTCCGAAGAAGAAACCAAGTAAGAAAATTGTCCATTTTTGTATAAGACCAATGGGCAACGTAACACTCAGGTGGCAGATTATTAGACACAGCTGACACTAATGCAGTAAATAAGGTTATAATGTTCCCTTGTTGAGAGAGGTGTTGATTCAACTTCATGGTCATTTTGGAGTCTGTAGTGTTTGTGTTGTTGAATTGTATTGTTACATACGACGTGTGTATAACATTTTGTCCGCCCCATTTATATTAACGAGGGAAGAACTCTAGCTTCAGTTAACGATTGCAGTTATTTATTAAATTACACTTCACTGCAGTTACTAAACAAACATATTCCATTTTTTTCTTTAGAACAGAAAAAAGCTCCCCTATCCACTGAAGAAAATATGGGAAATAAGAGTCAGGCCCGTTCAATTGAAAACCTGCTGGATCTCGGTGGAAAAGACAAATCCAGAGGCCGTACTCCTGCAGCCGAATCCAAAATGAAACCAGGTAGACACTATCCACTGTTTGGGAAAAAAACACTGATTTAGCAGTGCAACATTGTCGGACACACTGTGTAGAGTACAAATCTATCAAAATTATTATTTATTCCGCAAATTCTTCTTCCCTGTCAAAATCTGGCACCTACATTACCCACAATACATCTCCACTTTAGACAGTTTAGTTAATGTACAAGGTAATGTAGCCTGGATCTTCTAACCTCAAGCAGAGATGAGGAGTGGGCTACAGGGGTATGGTAAGCTCACTTCTTTCAAACTCCCCACTCTCTCTCACACACACACACACACACACACACACTTCAGCCCCAGCCCCTGTGTCTGATCACAAATTACTTTCTTCTTTTGTTTTAGAAAAATTGGACATTCCCCCAGACATAACGTCTGCTGAAAAAAGAAGCGAACTTCTGAAATGTAAGTGTATGCGTGTCGAAAGCATCTTCTCCTCAACTGGTAATATGTCTGTTATTGGAATATCTTTTTTCTTTCCCTACCAGTTGCAACAGTGCTCACATTGGATCGAAAGACGGCCCACAAACGCATCGCACTGAGTGAGGGCCTCACACAGGCCTCTGTGTCAGATGAGCACACAAACTACCCCGACTGCCCTGAACGCTTCGCTGTCTGCTCCCAGGTCCTCGCCTCCAAGGGTTTCTCTAGAGGGCGCCACTACTGGGAAGTCAAACTAAGCAGCAACAACTTCATTGGTCTAGGCTTAGCTTACAGCTGCATTGACCGCAAAGGTCCCACCAGTCGACTGGGCCGCAATGCCCAGTCCTGGTGTGTCGAGTGGTTTAACGTCAAGCTGTCAGCGTGGCATAACAGCAGTGAGACCGTGCTGGCTAATCCCAATTCAAAGCGTGTAGGTGTGCTGTTGGATTGCGAGGAGGGCACTGCAACGTTCTATAACGTGGCAGACAGGGCGTATCCCTTCCATTCCTTTGTGTTTCCCTTTTCTGAAGCAGTGTATCCAGCTTTCTGGATTTTCTCAAGTGGCTCGTCCATTACTTTGTGCAAGATGCAGGCCTGAGGAGCTGTGCACACATACAGTAAGCTGATCTAATTACTGAAACAGAAAACTACTAATTATATTTAGAAAGCCAGTCTTGAATTTATTTAAAAATATTATATACCCAACATTGGTTAAAATAATTTTCATATCGGGAGGCTGACCTGTTTTTACCCCCCGCGCTCTTGTTTACGTGTTGTCTTTGTTTAAAGCATTATTCGTGATTAGCTGTGATTTACAGCTGCTGAATTTGTGGTTATGTGACCACAAATATTACGCTGGCTTCTCAAAACACAGGAAAAGTAATAATTCTTGTGTTTTCAAGTCTACAGTCTGCATCCTAAGTGACTGTGACGCACTGAATCACTTCATGGGAAGTGTTTTTGAAGCTATATTATATCTTACATGCAGAAGGAATAAAAAAAAAGCTGGGAGAAGTGGAAGCTGGGTTTCCTTATGTTGGTTTCAATTCTGAGAAATTTCATCTACTTTCTTCTTTTCTATGATAACAGAACACACGTAACACACACTGTGCACTGACTGTACGGCATGTGTGTGCTAATGTGTCTCCTGTATTGTAACTGCAGATTACTTATAATGCGCTGTCTAATGGTTGTGAATGCGACCGGATGAAGAAGTGAATTAATCTCTTCACTGTCCAGCATATGTCAGTACAGTGTTTTCATCTGAAGTCTGCATTTGAAAAACGCATCTCTTGGTGTGTGCTAGAGTGTAGCTGTTATAGGGCGGGGCGATATGACAAACATCAGGATTTTTTTTCTCCATATCAGTCGATATCAATATGTCATGTTATGAAAAATTTAAAGATTCCTTTTAAGATGAATAATCTTTAAAAAATGAAAATGACAAACATTTTATGGGCTGTAAATTCTAGAATAAATCAACAAGTCCAGCATGTAAAGTCCTTGTTACTGTTGGATTATCATTTCTTTGCTGACACACTCACTGAAGATTCCTCTGAAGGAGTGCTCATGTATTCCATCTATCTGTCCTACTTTTGATACCAAAACAATAGCATGCTAACTCAACCGCATTGAAATGTACACTCCTAGAAGATACCATGTGATTAGCTAGAAATAGATTTGTGTCTGTGATGTGATTGGCTGCTCTGTCTTTTTAGGGAGATGAATGAATCTATTGTTCGTATCGCCCAGCCCTATCTGGTCACTCAACTCTGATTCAGCTGATGAGAACAGAAGCCACATAGACTCTGTTCTTATCAAGTTCTGCTTTTTCTTTGGATTATTTTTACAGCAAGGAAATAATGGGGAGAGGGAACGGGATGAAGTGCAGAAATAGTGCTTGGCTATGTTTAAACCTGGGATGTCCTGCTTGCATGGCATGCCCAATAGAAATACAATGCTATACTATTGTATATCTATGGTAGGCACATTAAACCAACAAGCCATCAGAATGCTCTGTTGGCTTTTGATAAGGTTGTAGGAAGGTAGTAAGATGTATATTAGTTTCACAGGGGTAAATTACTGTTTAATACAAAGTTTACTCCGGCCTGTAAGATGTGTTTGCTGAAGCACCCTGATGACATACAGTGGCTCATCTCCTGACGGGGCACCACTGGAGTCTATCAGTGGCTGGTCAGTGTGCCTGCTGATCATTTTCATTCAGACATTCCATGCTCATTTTGCAGGTGCTAAAAGCTAAAAAAAAGCTAAAAGCTGAGAATCTATGAGTGTCGAGCAGCAGAGATCTGTCTACACAACATACAGCACCGTAACAGTGAACGTAGCTGTTTGAACATGGTTCTCGTTGATCCTTGTGACCGCGCTGCATTTAAGGGGTTCAGAAGACACTGTTGTCCGGAGTGACTTAACTATTTTTAGGTTACATGCCAATATTTAAAAGTGCAGTACACCACTGCATGTACAGTCTGAACCTGGGTAGTGAAATCTGCTGTTTTCACTATTTTCCGCTGCTTATCATCACAATGGACAAATGTGGTTTGGGACGTCATAGTTTGTGAGACTATTGAGAGCTTTCCCATACCATAATGAGTGTGAGTACTGATGTCATGTGGACTGGTTTACTATTTCTACACACCTTAAATAATATAATGGTTGCATCTATGCTTAGTAGAATAAAGGTGTGGTTGTTTGGTTGACTATTTCTTATGGCTTCTGTTTCTGGATTGTAAAATGTATCTTAAATCAACCGCGGACTCCAGTGGCTTGCAGATCATTTTGTTGATCCTTGTTTGTGCAGTGCTGATCTGAAATGTAGTTCATTGTTCTTTGCATCTAATACTTTCATGGGACCCAGTACATTTGAGGATTTTACTCTATGCACTTTGACAACTCTACATTAAACCAATCCTCTGTGTAAGGCTTCACGTGTGGTGGTTTTGAGTGTACCCAAAAAGAGATGCATGGATTAAATCTGAACATAAGATTGTGTGATTGTCTTAATTCTAAAAATTATTGTTAAGAAAAAATCTTTGTATTACCTACCAATGAACCATCGATTGTTGTCAATAAAAGCTTTTTTCTCTCTCAGACGCTCAGCTTTTTTATTTGTAAGAAGCCTCAAATTATTTAAGGAGGCAAACTAACATTTGAGGAAATGTCCTGTTTTGCTGTCTACAGATGATAACATTGATATCAACCCCCATCTGTGTCTCTCATTCGGATTTGTACACCACATGGATGACACTGATCTATTCATGAGTTATTATGTTTTGTATTTTTCATTAGTTTTTATTTTGTTTTTCACTTTAGTCTCAGTTCATTTCCAGTGTGTTTGCTAGACTCATTGACTCACAGTCATGTAGACATACCAGTTTCAATAAACGTGCCCCAATGCCTCTGTGGCATGACTAAACTAAAGCTTCCTGTATGCTACCAGTCCAGTTTTTAAGTCCGTAGGTAAACTACAATGTTTCTATAAATACATAGTGTTAGGTAACCCTTGCTCTCAGTGTTCCTTGCAAACTATATTTATTTATCTAAATGTCAGTGTTCCTTAATACGACGGAGTATTAGGGCCATACGAAGAGAAACGTTTTTTGAGGGGGGGAATTACGAGAATAAAGTCGTAATTTTATGAGAACTGTCAGCCTGTTGGCTCAGCCAGCAAAACTGTTTAACACCGAAATGATCAACACATTAGTTAGGCTGCTGGGCTCAGGCTGAGGCTGCTGATTGGTTGAGCTGCTCACGTCAGATCTTGATAACTCTATCGAAGCTTTTTTTCTCATTAAAACCTACATTTACTTTATTCTCGTAACATTACGACTTTATTCTCGTAATTTAAAAAAAAAATATTTTTTTTTCTTAGTCTGGCCCTAATACTCCGTCGTACCTTTATTCTCAGTTAAAATACTGCAATAAAAACGTAGATAGTTTGGCAGTCAGTAGCCGGAAATCAGCCGCACGTAAATTTCGACTGTGCGAGTATTCTCACCATTACGGTAAGAACAGAGATTGCATATTTGACCATATTTGAGGTACTGTAAAAACATATTGCTCAATAATTCCTAACTATGTATGATATATTTGACTTCTACACGTCTAAGACTACACACACACTCAATATCAAGCACTTTTACTGCAGCAATTTGGAGAAATTTAAGAACACAATTCCATATTTAGGCCTCCAAGTGGCATATTTTCTTCTATTTAAGCTACTGTAAAATAATTTCACTCAATATTTCCTGGCTACGGATGGTATATTTGACTTCTACACGTCTAAGACTACACGCATACTCAATATCATGCATTTTTACTGCAGCAATTTGGAGAAATTTAAGAACAAAAGTCCATATTTGTACCTCCAAGTGGCATATTTCACTATATTTGAGCTACTGTAAAAACATATTCGTCAAAATATCCTGGCTAAGGATGGTATATGTGACTTCTACACATCTAAGACTACAAGCATGGTTAATATCAAGCATTTTTACTGTACCAATTTGGAGAAATTTAAGAACAAACTTCCATATGTGTACCTCCAAGTGGCATATTTTACCATATTTGAGCTACGATAAAATATTATTGCTCAATATTTCCTGGCTAAGGATGGTATATCTGACTTCTGCACATCTAAGACTACACGTATACTCATTATCAAGTATTTTTACTGTAACATTTTGGAGAAATGTCCATATTTGTACCTCCAAGTGGCATATTACACCATATTTGAGCTACTGTAAAAACATATTGCTCAATATTTCCTGGCTATGGATGGTATATTTGACTTCTACACATTTAAGACTACACACACACTTAATATCAAGCATTTTTACTGTACCAATTTGGAGAAATTCAACAATAAATGTCCTTATTTTTACCTCCAAGTGGCACATTTGACCATATTTGAGCTACTGTAAAAACATATTGCTCAATATTTCCTGGCTATGGATGGTATATCTGACTTCTGCACATCTAAGACCACACGTGTACTCAATATCAAGTATTTTTACTGTAACATTTTGGAGAAATTTAAGAACAAAAGTCCATATTTGTACCTCCAAGTTGCATATTTCACTATATTTGAGCTACTGTAAAATAATTTTGCTCAATATTTCCTGGCTAAGGATGGTATGTTTGACTTCTAAAGATGTAAGACTACACACATACTCAATATCAAGCACTTTTACTGCAGCAATTTGGAGAAATTTAAGAAAAAAAGTCCATATTTGTACCTCCAAGTGACATATTTTCATATATTTGAGCTACTGTAAAAATATATTGCTCAATATTTCCTGGCTATGGATGGTATATTTGACTTTTACACATTTGAGACTATAAGTTGACTTGTTTCCTATAGCTTTCCTTAATCACATGTCTGCCTTGTGTCCCCTCTCAGCAAGTATTTGAGAGACAACTATGAGGAAGAGACAGTAGGTACAATGCACTCAGTAAGCATGTGTGAATAAAGAATAATTGAAAGGCTTTCAGTGTAGCATACGTCATGCTTCTTGATAATAGACGTCCTCATTGGACATACTTGTGTTCTCTCACTATAAGCTCCTCTAGAAGAATCCTCTGTCCTCGTCTCAGTTACTGGAATATCTTCTGTGATGGCTAAGGGGAAACCAATTGCCAGGTGACCAGGTGAAGAGAAGAGAGGAGGCAAACAAGTGCAAGTCAGCATGTATAAAAACACCCACAGACACACAGACACATCAAAGAGACAAACATGAAGAGACTGACACACAGGGGAAGGGTAAAGACAGGAGAACATTGAGAAATGCATCCTTATGGTCATGGCTGCAACACATGACAATGGCAATACAGAATTTTATTTTAAGGAATAATAAAACTTTGATAATTTGGTTGAATCCTGCTTAAGGGATGATTTCTGAATTTGGTGTTTTGCAGTTAAAGGTAATTATTTCCCCTTTAACAGATTCACTGTGACAGCTGTTGCAGGTGGTTCCACGTACAATGCCTGCAAATGGACACAGCAGAGCTGCAAAATACCAAGAATATGGACTGGAATTTCATTTTGTGACAAAAGTAAACAAATTAGGATTGTGTAGAATTTTGAGTTTAGTGTTTAATTTTGGATGACTTTATCATCACTTTCTTATAACATGTTATTAAACATTTGTGTGAAATTTTGTCATGATTACTGCATCATTCTTGAAGTATAATGAAATGAATTGGTGCAGTACAAATGCTTGATATTAATTATGTTTGTAGTCTTAGATGTGCAGAAGTCAAATATACCATCTTTAGCCAGGAAATATTGAGCAATATGTTTTTACAGTAGCTTAAATATAAGAAAATATGCCACTTGGAGGAACAAATATGGACTTTTGTTCTTAAATTTCTCCACATTGCTGCAGTAAAAATGCTTGATATGAAGTATACTTGTAGTCTTAGATGTGTAGAAGTCGAATATATCATCCATAGCCAGGAAATAATGAGCAATATATTTTTAAAGTAGCTCAAATATATGAAAATATACCACTTTGAGGTACAAATATGGACTTTTGTTCGTAAGATTTCTCCAAATTGGTACAGTAAAAATGCTTGATATGAAGTATACTTGTAGTCTTAGATGTGCAGAAGTCAAATATACCATCTTTAGCCAGGAAATATTGAGCAATATTATTTTACAGTAGCTCAAATATATGAAAATATGTCTCTTGGAGGTAAAAATATGGACTTTTGTCTTCAAATTTCTCCAAATTGCTGCAGTAAAAATGCTTGATATTGAGTGTGTGTGTAGTCTTCCATGTGTAGAAGTCAAATAGACCATCCTTAGCCAGGAAATATTGAGCAATAATATTTTATAGTAGCTCAAATATGATCAAATGTGCCACTTGGAGGTACACATATGGACTTTTGTTCTTAAATTTCTCCAAATTGCTGCAGTAAGAATGCTTGATATTGAGGATGTGTGTAGTCTTAGATGTGCAGAAGTCAGATATACCATCCATATCCAGGAAATATTGAGCAATATGTTTTTACAGTAGCTCAAATATGGTCAAATGTGCCACTTGGAGGTACAAATATGGACTTTTGTTCTGGAATTTCTCCAAATTGCTGCAGTAAAAATGCATGATATTGAGTATGCGTGTAGTCTTAGACGTGTAGAAGTCAGATATATCATCCTTAGCCAGGAAATATTGAGTGAAATTATTTTACAGTAGCTCAAATATGGTGAAATATGCCACTTGGAGGTACAAATATGGACTTTAGTTCTTAAATTTCTCCAAATTGCTGCAGTAAAAATGCATGATATTGAGTATGTGTGTAGTCTTACATGTGTAGAAGTCAAATATACCATCCTTAGCCAGGAAATATTGAGCAATAATATTTTATTGTAGCTCAAATATGGTCAAATATGCCACTTGGGGTACATATGGACTTTTGTTCTTAAATTTCTCCAGATTGCTGCAGTAAAAATGCTTGATATTGAGGATGTGTGTAATACGCTGTTTCTTCGCATTTACCGTAATGCTGAGAATACTCGCACAGTTTAAATTTACGTGCGGCTGATTTGACCACGGGGATCGAAGTTACGGCTTGCTTGATACGGTAGTTCCAGGCCAGTCGTCAGCGCTTCAATATCCGGTAATACTGATAATGTTGCGATCAATAACATGCTCAGAAGAGGTCTCATGTCGCCTAACTGCATCCCCGTTTCCCTCGATCGCATCTTTTCCTTTCGCCTCAGTCAGGGATGCACAGAGAGACGAGAAGAAGGAAAGAAGGGAAGAAATAACAAGGAAGTCTGTTTTTAGAGAACTGAGACGTCCTTTCCTTTCGGTGCAGTTTGTGTCTGCACACATATGAACTGTACTAATATTAATAAAGACACACAGTTATCAGTGCCAGAGCAGCAGCCTGATGCCTGATCTGATGGGCTGCTTATTAACATCAGGATTACATTGTGATTAATGGCGGATGGACTGAGGCTGAATTAGGGTGAAATTTCTCACCATTAAAAGAGACGCTGTGCGCATTTATACGGAGGCCCTAAAGTCCCCAAAAGGAAATACTTTTTATCTTGTGCGCATAAGATAATTTACTATAAACTCATATGCACCTCTAACGGCTTCAGGTGCACACAGCTGTCATATAATGGAGAGAGGTCAGCTTTATAAGTTTTATTTTCACCTCTGAATGTCATACCATTAAATTCTTGCTGCTCTTGCTGAAATCTGAATGTCCGCCAGATTCTGTTTAGAGGGACATGGACACTTTGGTAAAACAGGCGAATAACAGAAAGCTATCTTTCTCAACTATCTCATCCACCAGCTCACCCACCAATAACATAGCAAATTGACTGCTTACATAAAGCAATGGACACATTAATGTTCAATCAGCACACATATTCCTATAAAGCCATAAGATAAAAAAGATTTCCTTTTGGGGACTTTAGGGACTCCGTACATTTACACACGAGGCACAGCAGCTTCATTGATTATTTAAATCTCCGACAGGATCTAAAGTTCCCACTCACAGTCCAGGTTCACGCAGGGAAATAGTTCAGAGTTAAACAGCCTCCTGATAAATGCTGTGTTTCCTCTGGAGAGATTCTCTGTCAGCAGGTTGTAAGTTCAGCTCTTTAATGATATTTGCTGCAGTGACATTACTGCGTGCTTGGAAATGTGTAAAATGACTGAAAGCATCCTCTGTCATTATTACAAATAAAACACTCACATGCTGCATCAGTCCAACCCAGAATGAACAAAGAAATCACTGTAACCCGCTGCTCCAAATAAGAGGCAAAGGAATCATTTCTGCTGGCAGAATGCCTACATTTTATTTTTATAGTATTTATTGATATTGTGATATTGTATCTTGAACCTTGGAAAATATTTATTAGGCTCAATGTTTCAGGGATAAATATAAATGATGTGTCCCGGGTCAGGAAGGATCAGCCTGTGACTGAATGGAAATGACAATAAATGATGTATATTGATATTTCCGCTTTTTGATATTGTACTTCTGTGTTTGTAGCACTGTGTTTTCTCATTGCATCAAGGTGTTCACACTCCTGAGGCAGAGGACCACCAGAAGCCGTTGTCTCCAGCCTGTAATGTGAAACAACAGACCTTGGATGTATCCATTGAGAGGTGGGGCTTCTTCACCTAACTCTACCCAGTCAGCTCGCAGTTCACGCAGTCGCAGATCCTGCCTGAATACACTGCCTGTGGAGTTGGATTAGCACTAAAAGGTACGTGGGGGTAAAAACGGTTATTCGTTAGACAAATGTCTTGTACTTGTGCACTTTCTATATGTATTTCTATGAGATAATGAGGTCCATCGTGTGCGGACTGTGGTGCGTCACAGCTGACGTTGGGCTTTAGCTCTTCCGCTAACTGCCTTTCAGTCAGAGAGAGATTGCTATTCGATAAAACATAATGGTGGCACAGGGGGAAACATGTTTTTCTACGTAGTTTTCCAGAAACTGACGAGTTAAATTCCGTTTCTCCCTCGCAGCCTCACTCGACCTCCCATCATGGCCGACTTCGACGAGAGTCAGTTTTCTCTCATGAGTCTGGAGGATGAGCTGACCTGTAGCATCTGTCTGAGTACCTTTAACTGTCCGGTGACCATCCCCTGCGGACACAACTTCTGCCAGGACTGCCTCCTCGAAACCTGGAAGGACTCCTACAGCTGCCCTCAGTGTCGGACCCTCTTCGCCACCAAACCGGAGCTGAAGAAAAACACTGTCCTCAGCACCGTCGTGGAGACCTTCAACTCCAGGGCGAGCAAGAAGGAGACCACCGTGGAGGAAGAGGAGAGCAAAGCCGATGATGTCATACGTTGTGATACGTGCATGGAGGCAGAAGCGTCGCAGACCTGTCTCACCTGTATGGCGTCTTTCTGTGAGGAGCACCTGCGGCCTCACCGGGAAAATCCGAAGTTTAGTGTCCACCAGCTGACCGAGCTTGTGGGAGACCTGTCGGAGCGTATCTGCCAGGACCACCACAAGCTGATGGAGTTCTTCTGCAGCCAACATGGCCGTCCAATCTGCAGCTTCTGCCTCCAGCAAGCCCACAAAGGCTGCTCCTTCATGACCCCTGAGGAGCAGAGGAACCTGAAGGAGGTGTGTGGTGTGATTTTATACTCACCTGACAGGAGTCTCACTACAGTCCAAATGAGGACTGCACGGTTAATCGAATTATTATCCAAGCAAATGCAGAAGCTGCAAATCTCCAGATTAAAGAAAACATGTTCGACCCTCAAAAGGATCACAGCATCATTTTAATAGTTTTTTTTTTTTTTTTTTTTTTGGTCAAAATGAAAATTGTGATGCAAAACTGTTAATTCCCAGTAACCCTGAATCATATCACAATGTCTGTCAAAATAATTGCAACAGGATGTTTTTCCATATCCTGCAGCCCCAGTCCAGATATCAGCTTTACCGGGCTGATTACTCATTTGGAGGAGTAATTTGACATTTTGAGAAACATGCTTATTCAGACTTACCACTTCACTCTCTGTCTGTACAGTACATATGTACTTAAAACCAGCATCTGGTTAACTTAGCTTAGCATAAAGACCAGGAACTGGTTAATCCCTAGCATCTGGCTCTGTCCAAAGTGCAAGATGTAACTTTATTGGGCTTTAGAGGTGCTGGTAGATACATTTTTGTTACCTTTGGACAGAGCCAGGCTAGCTGTTTCCTGTTGCTGGCTACTGCTATATATACTGTACAGACATAGGTACAACAGCATCAACCTATATTAACTCTGGGCAAGTGTTTTTCCCAAGTATCCCCCACGTCAAAGCGGTTATCAACCTGCTCTGCCAACCCTGGCATTCAAAGAGAATTTATTAATAATAACAAATAATAACTAACTGACAGCTAGAACATTTATAGATAACATATTATACAATACAATGAGTCAGTCAAGACTATTACACTAGACTGTTGATATTAATAGATTTTAGCAATATAAAAACTCTTTAATCCTAAGAAGGTAACACTATGGTGGTGCCATTTGAAGACTGTGCTTCAGGAATAATGCAGAAGTGTGTGTGCAGTATTTTTTATGTGAGGCTGTGGTGAGGAAGTAAGCAGGGTCTGTAAATATAAAATATTTTTCTGTGTCTCCACCTCCTCCCACTGTACAAAAATTACGCCGAAATATGCCGGGATATGTTTCCGATATATGGCCGATGCCATCTTGTGCTAGTGCCGTTATTCGGAGCCGCAGTCTGCGCAGTAATTATCAGGGTTGGATGGTTCCCACCCGTACACAGGCCGATTCAACTTCAAGCAGGGCTCGGCTGTCAATCATGATGTGAAACCCCTTTTTTATAGCTTCAAATCAAGATGTTATGCCTTCACTATTGGGTGTACATGTATCATGTCGTTAGTTTTCATATATGACGATGGTATGGAGGCTGTATTTTAAATTTGTCTTTTAGTCTGACCTCAGAGACAAGTTGGGGTTGCTGGACGGGAAGATTGAGAAGACTGAGACCGTCATGCTTCAAATCAGTGACATGCAGAGCAAGCTGAAGGTAAGTTTGACCTATTCCATTTCCAGCTTTTCACAGAAATAGAAAACAAATAAATTAGCAATTCATTTACAAAGAAAAGTGTGATGGCACTTACATAATGTCTATTTCTCCCTGTATTTACTCTTTATCTATGGCTCCTCTCATGATCTCTGCCTAGGATGCAGCAACCAATAGGAAGACGGCATTTGCAGCTGTGTATCAGCAAATGCGGGATATGTTGGCCCAAGAAGAACACAAGGCCCAACATGATGTGGACAACGAGCTGGAGACTGCTCAGACGAAACTTCAGGACTTCATGAAGAGGTTCACTGAGAATTCTGAGAACATGAGAAAAGCCAGAGAAGATCTCAACAGTCTGCTGAATCAAACCCAAAGCCTGGCCTTTCTAAAGGTGGGATGAACATTGTCACAGAAAGATGAAGTACTGGAGGGTAAAAAAACTATGGTAAATTAGTGTTAAGTCATGTTATTGGGTGCATACTATGTTTCGGCCACCACAATTTCAATTAAAGCATATGTTTTGAATTTTAACTATAGCTGCAACAGCTGTTTTGAACATTCAAAACTGGCTGAAGTAATCAATTTAGTTTAATTTATTGCACAAAATTGCCAAACATTTACTGGTTCCAGCTTCTCAAAGGTGAGGATTCAGTGCGTTTCTTTGTGATATATGATTAAATATCTTTTGTGTTTTGGACCGTTGATCAAATAAAACAAGCAATCTGAATACATTAACACTGGCTGTTGGATATCACAGGTATTTGTCACTATTTTCCAATATTTTATTAACAAATGAATTAATTTGAGAATGTAAATTAATCAAGAATAAAAATAATTGTTACTCTAATATTGCTGACTTTTGCACCCTCCAGTGTTGCTATCACCAAAAAGAGAAGAATGCATGCTGTTACACCAATTACAGCCACGTCTTACATGTGTTGAATGAATTGGGGGAGAAAACACATCCCATTAATAAGTATTTTATTTTCTTTCACTTGTTTCTCACAGGCTTCATTTGACTTGCCTAGGGTTGTAAAGTTTGACCCTTACGCCCCTCGAGTCCACCTGGACTCCAAGAAGGTGATGGCATCTCAGGCCTTTGCTGCTGCCCTGAAGGAGCGTCTCACTGAGATCCTTACGCAGCCTGTTGAGGCCAGACTTCTGATGCTTAAACCAGGAGAACATACAGGTACATTTCTAGTTGGAAGTTTTATATTTGATAAGAAAATGCAATGGAGCCAGCATGGCTTTTAACAGTGGTTTCCAACCTGGGGGTCGGGACCAGCACTAAGGATGAGCTTCACGGGGGGGTTGCAGGCCTTCTTGATTTTAAGGCGTGTAAGAAAACATACACAGTAGGCCTATATCTCCACATTTTGGTTCAAGTAAAGTAAATTGTCTAATAGAACAATGGCCAGGCGGTGGGGATGAGAAAACATTGAATTTGTTACTAAAGAAGCCTGTAAAGTCTGTATGATTGTTTAAAAAATAAGAAAAAATGCATAACAAAATTGTATAAAATGTTTCCTTAACAGGAATAATCTCATAATTATTCCAAATACAAATTTTATACAAACTTCTTACAGTTACTGAGTTTACTATTTGGGTTAATTTTACAGCTTTTAATACAATATGAAATGCCCATACAATATGTCACTTAGTCTGGGTCGTGAGTTTCCTCAGTGATAGAAAAGAAAAAGGTTGTAAATGAAATCAAACGTTCACTTTATCGATGCTGTGTTTTCTTGCTGTGGACTAACTGTTTGAAATTCTGAGCAGATCAGATTCTTTCCCTTGTGTAATCATTGTACCTGGGATCTTCATTGGATCTTGCTGCCATTGTTGTGGGGCTGTGTGTGTGAGTGGCAAATATATAAATACAGTTCATTTACCATTCACAGATGAAAAAGCAGCTCCCGTCTCAGGAAATTCTGGATCTCAGTCGGAATCTGGTAGGTTCATCTCTATGAAGGTATTATTGTAGCAGAAAATCTAAATACAGTAGATCATGTACCTATAATAAAATATCTGCCCATCCAATGACAGAAAAATTTGTGGATTTTTGCTCGTCAGTATATGTGTGTGTGTGTGTAGGATTAGGAATTGTACAATTCAAAATTGAATCTCTTTACAATGTGATAAAAAAAAATGTCTTCTCACTTCAAATTCTCTGTTCCATAAATTCCAGAGCCGAAAGGACAGCCCAGCTCCCACAGTTTCGGTTGTCCACCTATGCAGCCATACTTCCAGCCAGTTCCTGTACCTGTTTATATGGAGCCACCTGGAGGCTGGAATCCATCCCATTATTCACAGGGCCAGTCACAAGGCTCTCATAGGGGCCCTCCATTTATGGCAGGACAAAAGCCATGTAAGTACGATATAAACGTACAATCACATTGTGATATTGATCACGACAGTATGATTAAGAAATTCCAGACAGTGATGTGATCCTGGGACACTGAGATGAAACAATTGGCTGACAGAAACAAACTGACTACACTAATTTTCACTGTGATTGTATCACTTTTCTATCGAGACCTACGGCATGAAAATAATTTGAAAGATGCCATAATCACACCAACATTTTCCGCATTTAATTCAATTTAGCATCGAATGACTTATACAAGAGGATAAGCACGATAGGGTTGCCGCTAACGAATCATTTCATTATCGATGATTCTGTTGATTGCTGATGAGCGTTGACCATTTACTTGATTAACAGATTATTAATTCATTGATTATCAGAATATTTGCCAATTAATTTAATAGTTGACCACTAATCAATGAATTGACTGATTGCTGCAGCTCTAAAGCACAAGTCCATTCCATTCATTCTGCTAACAACCAATCAGAAGCCCGAATGATGACAAACAAAATGCAATATAATGTAATACCTAACCTAAGTAGTTAAAGTTGCCGAATTCTCAAAATTTCTGATCCTGGGAAATTTCAAGGAAAAACCATTAAGAAAACCGTTTCTGGAAAACAGGATAAGAAATGTAAGAGGAGCCATACAGCCAAAAACAAAACTACAAGAATAATTGTTTGAATTGGGTTAGGACTTTTTTTCTAATGCCAGTCATTATCAGTCATCAATATTTACCAAGAAGGTAGTGTCCCAGTATTTACCATGAGATAAGATGTTTCATTATTTATTCCCGTGGAGGGGAAATTCAAATTTGGCACAGCAGCAAAGGGGAATGTAGTGCAAAGAGTAGAGAAAGAATAAAATACAATAAAAATGATAAAATATAATAGAGGTATAATCATTAGTGCTGGGCAACGATTACAATTTTTAATCACGATTAATTGCAGTTACGCAAAATTCAATAATAAATTAATAAGAAAATATTTGAAACTGTGTATAACTGTTGTATGTGCATGCATTTGTGCAAAAAAGACTTTGTGCTTAGCAGGTTAATAGTTAACAGTCTCAATCAGCGGAGGTGGGCTGCTTTAGTTTGTGGCTGAAAGTGCTCCTGAACTGCCACATGAAGGTAGCGGCCCAATGACCATGAAGTCCGAGGTTTTCCATGACAGTTGACTTCTGGTAGATAAACCCTTATAGGGTTCATTATCTGTGGGCAACATGATATAAGAGCAATTATTACACACAGTTGTGTAATGAATGAAGAGCTGCAGGTATGAGGGGAGGGCCACTTTTGAGGTGCAGTTGTTTTTACAGGAAATGTTAAATGAGTTACAAAGTGCTGTACATACAAAAAACAGAACCAAGAGTTAAAAGCAGTGAAAAGGTCATAAGGGGAGAGCAGCTTGGTGATATAAGAAGGTGCCAAACCAGAAAGGGCCTTTTGAAAATAATTATTTTTAAATCCATTTTAAAAAATGAGGGAGGCTAAAATAGCCGTGAATTGGTCCCATTGTTTGGAACCAGTTAAGAGCTGAGCTGCAGTTGTAGTAGACGAGACGTGATGAGATAAACACACGAACAACCTTCTCCAGATCAGTCACCCCCAAATGTTTTTTGGGGTTAAAAGATTGTCCATTTACCAAATTAGCTTTTCAATAGGATTTGGTTTCTTTGACAGATGGATTTAGCTTTAGTTTGCCTTTTATTACATAATGTAATGCATTGTTTAACCAATTGGAGCTTTCAAATGACCACGTTGTAGGTACATTCAGAAACTAGTAAAGTGCTTCCATACGATATCAATGTGTTTCAGCTCTATTTTTGACTGTGTATGGTTACATATTAGAAGGTGCACGCTATTTGGGTCAACTCGCTGAACAATAACAGTGTATTATGTCAGTGATCAGTATGTAACATTTTCTAATATGGGAACCTTTTGCAGTTCATACATGCTATATGTTTGCATTAAAGTAAAAGTTGAGTTGAGGCAGGAAGTGCAGTCTCATGATAATTGTCTGGGAGTGTGTCACTATGATCACATGATATCGTGATTGGATCAGTAAATGTGAAGATATTGATTATAGGAGCTATGAACAGCGTGTTTGACAAGTGTACATCTCGGCCAGTGGGTGCCACCAGATCGCTAAAGTCATAGTTGAAGTAGTCAAGATATTGATTGATCACCAATGCTATTCATAGAGCCACATTGCAACTCGAGAAAAAAAGCCATAAAAATGTTTTCCTTGTTTTGTCTTGTTGAGTAAAACTAATGTGTTTCTTGACTTTAAATGTGTGTTCTTTTTTTTCTTTTACAGACAAGAAAAGTGATACCAGTCACCACTCCTTCAACAGTATGTATTTCACCTTCATAATGTATTGCACAGTGAAATTTGTTTTTTTGGCTAGGCCCACTATTACCAGGCCAGGTTTTTTCCTCAGACTGTATTGATATAACAACATTTTAACCAGATATGGATTCGGCGTGGGGTTTTGGGTAAGGAACAGAGCTTTTTGTTTGTTTCCTAGAATTAAACCTTTTTAAAAGTTAATAAATATCTGTCAGACAACATTGAGCAGTTTCTCTGTTTTTTCCCCCTTGTTCTACATTTGTACAAGCTTTTGTGCTTATACATGAGTTTTTGAATAGAAGTGACTATAATGAGCTCCAGGTACTGTATGTGTGCAGGGCTGCTGTAGTGTAAGGTGTGGTTGTTTTAGTGTTGTTTGACTTCTGAATTACATAGAATGTCACGAGTTTAGCTTGGCCAGTAATTACTATATGTCACATGTGTAACAGCTGTCTGTCTGCAGCCTTCAGGACGACAGTGGACTCAAATTCACTGGCAACTTTCCAATAAAAACAACAGCTTCAACAACACCCTTCTCATAGGCCCGTAGTACCTGAATTACCTGTGTGCCAAGATGTTGGCAAACTCTGGAGGCTTTTGCAGAATTGCATTTGTAATTGCGACTTTGAGAGCAACTTCAGAAAATGCTGAGTAGTAACTACAAAATTCAGGAGTTTACACTGTTGTGCTTAAGCTTGTCAATTTGAGCACATGCCATTTTGAATAATTACAAAAATCAGCTTGGCAAGTGGCAAACTCTCACACTGGGCAAACTACTACTAAAGAAACCTTTTTGTATATTTTCTTAAGAACAAGACAGAAAGCCCCACACTGCTCCAGCATGGGATGGCCCCAAGAGAGACAATCCAGGAGGAAATAATCCAAGTGGAAAAGGACCTGGTGGCCCCAAGAGAGACAATCCAGGAGGAAATAATCCAAGTGGAAAAGGACCTGATGGCCCCAAGAGAGACAATCCCAGAAGCCATCCCCCATCTGGGAAATCTGCTAAATCCCACCCACGGCCGAATAAAAATAACTAGAGGCAGTTTACTTACTGAAGCCCTTTGTTCCTCTATGGCCATTGACAAATGTCCTCCACCTCACTTGGTGATTCTTGGTGAGCCCCCTTCCAGACATTTATGCCTGGACACCTCTTCTCCAGCTATTAAAATACTTTTAAGGCCCTGTCTGGTTTGGTACCTTCTTATATCTCTGAGCTGCTTGCGCCTAACTCTCTGCCAGTACTTCCTAAGTGATCGGTCCGGTACCACCATAGTGGCCATCAGTCCACATTTCTCCACCAGATGTTTAGTACTCTCCTGATTGAGGCAGATGTTAGTGAATGATTGGAGCCTGTTTGTTGTGTCTTTTGTGGTTCTCAATGCCTTAGATCCGTACAGCATCACCTGCTTTGCATTCTAGTTACTTGGGGATCTTCTGGAGTATGTTTAAAATCTACCTAGTCTTATTGATCCAGCTTGCTTAAAGATGTAGATCTGTTTGCTTGTGTATCCTAAAAATGTAGAGATTGAGTCAATCACATGATAAGGAATGGCATAATACTATTGCTTTGTAAGTCCTGAAATAAAGACTTTTGACATGATGATATATTTGTGTGAATGATCAAATGGGTGTGGTAGCAGTTGCCTGGAAATGAACACATTTCCTAGCAACTTGACTTATCAACATTTGTTAAATTGGTTACAGATGAACACATCCAAATGTAATGACGTCATAGTTTCATTGGCTGCTGGGATCTCTGAGCAGGGATAGCTGCAGGTTTTCTCCCTCAATTGATTAAAGTCATTTATAATATAACTTAATTAAAACACAGGAACACATGGCTTCTATATGAAAATATTTATGGGAATGTTTTCAAATTCAAAACATTGCTTCATTACATTCAATCCAAATCCATTTGTCACCTGTAGTAACAATTTCCGCAACAACCCTCTTGACTACCATTTTTGTCAATGGCTTAGTTTTACATGATTGTTACCAAAAGCTTATTTTCTCCCAGACACAGGTCCTTTGTATTTTCTCTTTAGCAGAGGCCGAATAAGGCTTCTTTTTAAGATCATATTGTAGTCAACCTTCAGTCAGCCTGTAGGGTTGGTTACTTTTACAGATATTTGACAGCAAAGAAGTAAGCCTATTCAAATATATATTAAGTAATAATGAAAGCATTTTGGTACACACAACATGGTGACATTTGCCTTGCTGAACTGAGTCTATATAAATACTGTTATATATCTGCCAAGACTGAACAATTAATAAAACAGCTGTGAATTGGGAGCATTCAAAACATCACAGTCATGTCCCTACAATCTTAACAGTAGAACAAGTAAAAGTCTTTAGCCACACTAGCAATCTTGTGAGGCGTAACAGCCATCATTACACACCAGGAAACACATTTGTTGGATGGTTTAAAATGGGAGAGAGCACTTTTCTACTGTTACATCCTAGGTCCAAATGAGAGCCCTCCACCAGAATTAGTTAATGCATTTCCCACAATTCTAAATGAAAAATTGCACATTTAGAACATTTTTGATGACTACATTGACATTTGTTTTGATATTTTCTGTTGTTTATAAGGGACCAACGCTGTTGGCAAAAGAGCTGTTCACTGCTCTGGGCAGCATGCATGGGAATGACTTACTAGAATTTTTATTGTTTTTTCCCCTGATGGTTTAGATTTGCAAAACTTTTGGCTGGTGGCATTTAAGAAAGAAAGTCTTTAAGAGGATCTGAAAAGTTCCAAAAGTTCCTGGACCAACGCACTGAACGAGGGTACTGGGCAAAACCAAGTGTAAAGTTGGGAGAGGGGAGTCACACTTCTGTTTTCAGACAAATGCACCTGGAGGACATATCTAACATATTTTACACTGCATGTTGCAGGGGACAGATGCTTATTTCTCAGCACTGGAGCCTGGGAACATAGTGTGATCCATTACACACATACACGCTATTTGACTGCAGCTTTAAGCTCTTACCTGATTCAAATTAATTGTACTTAACATGTTAGCATGTGCTGCCATATGTACATGCAAACTTAAGTGTCTGACAGTCACACATTTAACCTGTTGGTGGGGCTGAATAAATAGGATACACAAAATGATTAGGACTCTTCCCTGTGGACCATCAATGTGTGTAACAGACTGCACTACAGTTATTGAGGTATATAATTCGAAAACAGTGTTTTGAACTAGAGTCATGCTTCTAGTGTGGCTAAAAGCCTTCAAACAAACCCCAGTTACATTTCAGCAAATTCAACACAACACACACACACACACACAATTCTGGTAAACATGGATCAGGTAAAAGATCAAACAGGTGTCCTTGTGCAAGAAGAATTCACCAAACAAACAGAGTGATGAAACCATGAGGCTTGGTTCCCTGCCAAGGAGGTGCATATTCCAAAAGCATAGGCATCACACGGCTAAAAACGGATCCCTGTTCAGCCTTATGATCAACAAGTTGGCTCCGGGTTAAGCATAAACTAACACTGTAGGCTTTTCTTATATGGCTGTGAGCAACAGGCAATTTCTTTTTCTTTCTGCAATAAACAGGACCACCTCAAATGGTAAAAGGAATTTCCCTACGAGTAGGCTATTTGACAGACATAAGGACAAATGACCTCCTGCACACATTATGTTACACACATTATGAGTACTGAAAAGATGCAACCAATGAAAATCAACAGTTAGATCAACATCACCTGAACACAACACAGAAAAGTACATGCAAGTAACTCTGATGGTCTTAATATTAAACTGTAGAGATTAGTGTAAAGACCCTGGCTACAGAAAACACTGTCTTTAGTCTGCCACCTTGTGGTGACTATCTGGTAAAACATAAATTGATGAAATGCAAGAGGATGACTTGAGTAACATAAAATAACAACATAGGACAGCTTAATCTCATCAGCAGTTATCACAACCGGCAGCAACATCACGTTTCAACATCATGGTGTCATCTATGTCCTAAGCAGTGTAAGGTGTTTAGCAGTGTAAGTGCCAAAACAGTGCAGCACAATATATGTAAACAGGAGGAACTATGTAAAGAAGAGGACAAACGAAAGGTTTTACATGTAGGCAAAATGAAAATCCTTAACAACAGTTACTTGGCAGTACTTTCAAAGTAAACAAGTCAGGCTGTTTCCTGTAGCTCCTACAGGAAAGTTAAATATAGTTTCGAGACTGTATCTTAGTACAATCTAACAGTTTTGGCGAGCTACGTGAGACAGTGCATCATGAAGTAAGCAAACTAGCATCGACGTCCAGTGATTGACACATTTGATTGACACATTGCAGTTGTAACAGAGCCTTTGCTCCATTGAGATTCAGAGACCTTTTGGCCGTCACATATTTCAAAGCCTCATCATCAACAAATGCAGGAGATACTTAAAAACTATCAGCGTTTTGATGACGAGGAGCCTGAAAGGGGAATTTAACAGATATTGTGTACAGTTTCACATTTCACCCACCATCTGTACAACACTCATCTTTTGCAGAAAATGCGTTTGCTGTTTGTGCTCTTATTGGAGTAAAAAAAAAATCACTAATGGGCCAAAAAGCTTTGCATGTACCGTCAGCCATTCATTGTGACAGCACTGTATTACTACTTTATCACCTGCTGTTGACGGAGACATGGCTTTGAGGGCATTTGGTCAACTGAACCTGGGCAACTTCTTAAAAATGGCTCACTGATACCTGCAGGGCTGACTGGGCATTCAATTGAAAATACAGTATAATAAATACAGTATAGTCGACTATTAGATATCTATGGCACAAGGGATCAGTGCAAATAAACAGCCATCTTTCTCCGAAACATTCACCTCCTCCTGACTGTCCCACCTGTGGAGGGGGAACTGCCTGAGCTCTGGGTTACAATGTATGGGGAGTGTGGAAATAAAACAGCGAAAAACAAATCACGCCAGCCCCATTCCAAATGGACCTTTCTAACCGCTGTGAGCTCCCTGAAAACATATGAAAGGATTACACAGGAAATGTATGACACCTATTCTGATCGACATGATTTGAGGATAGAGTGTGTTCAAAGATCATTGAGGAGGGGCGAGTAAGTGCCAATGCAAATGAGGGACTCACAGAAACTGGGTTGCAGAAAGAAGACAGACACTAAGACAAGAAGAGCTTTAGATCACGTGATGTTTGGGGTGGGTCATGCACGAGCGGAGGCCGGCCCTGCAGGCCTGGGTGAGTCGTGAGGGGTGGGGCTCTCCGTCTCAGAGGCGCTGGATTCGTCGTCATCATCGTCCGTCTGCTCGCTGCTGTGGTACAGCATGAGGGCCTGGGTCTTATGGGTGATTGTGATGGTGCAGGGACCCTGGGCCCACGGCTCTCCGTCCACCTGCATGGGCATCTTGGAGCTCTTGAGAACCAGCTGGAGAGGGGAAAATAACAGCCGATGCTTGAATATGAGCAGGGGATATTTGTCTCTAATGGCGGTTACCACCACATCTGGTGCTCACTGAGGATGCTGTGTCCAGCCTTACTGCTCAGCTGCCATGAACCACATGAGAAAAGCTCTGAGGTGAGCAGCTAACCTTTTGGCTTAGGCTGCCCTCAGTTTTGTCTTTCAAGCTACAAACTGCCATAAAACTGTATGTAGAACTGGGGCTGCAGGTAGCCAGACAACAAACTCTGAAGACACTTCTTGATGCTAAAAAAACAACATCTTGGAAAGCTTTGGACATAAATCAAAGGCAAGGCAGTAAAGGACAGGTGCTCTTGATAAGAACATTCATTTTTGGTTGTCAGGTCTCTATCAATGAAATTAAATAATATCATTTTCAGTGAGTTCTGGCCATTAGTTACACAGCCAGTATTATAGAAGCTTAAACACCAATGTAATCATAATGTGTTATTTGCCAACAAAAAGTTTTCATTTTCTTTTTTAACCCTTGACTGTGTGTTCCCATACTTGTGATATTAAACCTGCACCCTTGGTTAGCAGCAATTACATCACATTATAATGTAAGGTATTCAAATACCAGTAAAATGAGCTTCTCCATCTTTCCCTTCCTGTGGTTGTCATGGTCTACCCATGCAGGTGCACAACAGTCCCAGCCATCCTCTCTCTCCCTCTTGTTTACAGTGAAAATAATGGAGGTGTTCGAAATGTTTGAAAGCACTTGTAAATCTCCGTAGGACTTTTTTCATTTTGACCTTGAAATACATCGGTAGCTGTTTTAGAGTGTTTCTAATGAGTGGTTAATGGTGGATTTGGTGTTAAAACAAGCAAAGACTATGAGCACAGGCAGGAGCCCAGTAGCAAATGCTTAATCAGATTAGTCTAAATAAAATTTGATTCTCAAGTGCTGTGATGAGGCAAATGGCAGCGAAAACTAATCTGGCTCCCTCATTGTCTCTCTCCATACCCACTTAATGAGGTAAACAGGAAGCACTGTAGCAGAACCGTGTGTGTGTGTGTGTGTGTGTGTGTGTGTGTGTGTGTGTGTGTGTGTGTGTGTGTGTGTGTGTGTGTGTGTGTGTGTGTGTGTGTTATTGCCTCACCCGGACAGTGTGGGCCTGACCCAGCCGCACAGGGTTGGCCAGCTTGACCTGGATCTGAGCACAGTGGAAGGAGCCAAACACACCCACCACCTCCAGCAGACCATCATCCAGCCTGCAGGGAGAGACAGGAAACAGCACTGCTGCTTACTGTTAGTTGCTATGGTAACCTGGAGCCCTTGGTATTAACACTTCAGTAAGAATACCAGTGCATAAAAAACAACAAGAGATCAATTCTGCTTATTTCTGATGGGCATTCGGCATTTTTATGACTAACTGATTTGTGGATGCTCTCTTACCGTGTGGGGGGGCAGGGTTCATCCCCCATACCCTCCCAGAGTCTGCAGCCTCCGCCCCAGTAGCCAATATTGCAAACTATGATGCCCTCCAGACTGGGCAGCGCCACCCTCTCCCCATCCAACTCCAGCTGCAGTAGGAGCGCACAGAGAGACAGAGACCGTATAGACAATCAGTTTCCCTCTTTCCTCCTCTGCCCTGGCGACAGTCTCACAGGAAGTGCTTCAACTTGGTCTTGCAGTGTTCGACGTAAATGCGCACTTTGACAAAAAAAAGCTAATTCATCCTCTGCTTTTTTTTACAGGCTTACGATCAGTACAACAATATAGATTTTTCAAATGTGAAACTATCTAGAGAATAGAGCTCAACCCGTGCTGAACTTATGAGGCTGATGCCAATAATCTGTTTGTTTGGTTAATAAAGAGTGACCGAAGGATAACTAAATATAAAAAACTCCAAACAGTACAGACTATATGGTAGTATTGTGTGGTGTAGGTGTGGTGTTGTTAGCTTAGCTTAGCATAAAGACCATAAGCGAGAGGAAATGGCTAACCTGGCTCTCACCAAAGTACAAAAGTACTTCTACCAGTGGTCAGTTTAATTTTTACACAAACACAAACAGAAAAGTTGTGGTTTTATGGGGAATGGTAGGTGTCTTTTCTCAACTTTAGCAAGAGCTAGGCTAACTGCTACCACCACTGCTTCCGGGCCTTCATCCTAACTCTTGCCCAACAAATTACAGATACAACAGTTTACATACATACAGGTCCATTAAAGAAACTCAAAGTAAAATAACCATTTTCATCCACCACAAAAAGGTCCCCGTCATTCACAAGCATCCCAGATGGAATATTAAAAAAATAAATAATAATAATGAATAAATAAATAAATAAATAAAAAACTATTGTTTATTTAGCCATGTTTAAGCAGTGGCAGCTTGGTAAGATGTGGAATTTAGGGCATAAGTCTAGGAATATTACAAATAGTGAAATCTTTGGATTCTCTTTATGAACTGCATAAGGGAGGACAGAATAAACATTAAGCTTCATTACATGAACAAGGCTACTGTACCTCAATCTTCTTATCCAGATCCTTACATTCCTGCACTAAACAATCTTTGGTGCCATACAGGAAATAAACAGCCTGCAGAAAAAAAACAGGAAAGTAGGCTTTAATACAAAGCTTTCTCTATTGTTTCTGACAATAAGGACACAGACAGCCAGCATATTCAGGGGCACTAAGTATTAATATATCAAATCCAAATTCAGTAAATATTTGCACATGATTTATGCATTCAGATGCAGCGGCTCTGACCTTGTTGATGATACGGCTGGAGAAGAAGGAGGGTGTTTTCTCGCGGTGTGTGTGGAAGCTGAGCGCCATCAGAGCGTCGGGCCCCACAGAGAAGTAATTATTCATGGACAGAACCTGAGGAGGCACCCAGCGTGTGTTTTATATGTATTTTTATCAAATGTATTAATACACAAGACACAAAGCCTGAATAACAACATATCTGCAACTAGAGATACAACTTCATATTCATAAAAAAGAATTTAACACCGGAGATCACACTCACCTTTGGTTTACGAAAGTAGAGGCCTTTTGAAGCCACCTGCACCTTCCATCTGAAAGTGATTGTGTAGGTAATTAGCAGGAAGAGAAGAAACACACAGAGGGCAATAAATAGGATTTTAGAAATACAGACAACATGAGTCTGCCCAGATGCAACCCTTCTGCTCAGAACAGCAAAAAGAAAGCAGATAGAATTTTTGATTTTTTGTATTCTTAATTTTACTAATTTAACGGTTTGATTATATTTTCAATAAATTATATTTCCCTTGGTCTAAATGCAGATCTAAATCGCTCTCCACGCTGACATGAAAACAATTCTGATGGAGAAATATTGAATCCTTTATTGAATGCTTTACTGTTGGCTTAAACGTAGTAAAATCTGTGACATCCGTGTCATAAATGTTGGCTGCAACCCTGAACACAAATTGTATTAACATACACAGATTTAAGTTCCTCCAACTCCAGTTTAAGACTTGTTGAGACGTTTGAATGCCAGATATTTCATCACAAAAAAACTTCTAAAGCTGCTGACATATCAAAAGAGCTCCCATAGCTTCTAGACAGAAGAACATAGCATAATAAAACACATAGTATTAGACTAATAAAACAAGCAGCTTATAAGATGATGAGATGATATCATACTGTGGAAGACTTGTTTCCGAAGCACAGACTGAAACTAGTATTAGAGTCCCACCTGTCCATTTTGACCACCTCTGCATCAAGGACGTTACGGAGAACCTGTTCCACAGGGATCTCGCCAGCATACCCGGCACCCCAGCCTAAAGTGTTGGAAAGGTCATTTCCTGTCCCCAGGGGCAGGATGGTCACCCTTGGCATAAACTGGTCTTGGCCCTGACACAGGAAAATGTAAGAGCAGCAGGCGTGTTACTGACTTGGCACAGAGAAGTGGTAGAACACAGGCAGAGACAATGACACACTGCAACGCTTAGATAAAGATAAAATGTAATGAAACCTTCAGCTTCATAGTATCGATGGCATCCAGCACCCAGCCCACTGTGCCGTCACCCCCACACACCAGCACCCGCACACTGCCGGGGGGCAGCAGGGTGCACAGCTGGAGGGCTTTGGAGGGCGTCAGCTCAGACAGGTCAAACACCTGGAGGAATGATGGGAGAAAGGGCTTAAGTCATGTTTGCGCAGGAAATACAATCTGGAATTGTCTGATTTAATTTGCCTCATTGCCTCCTGAAATGTTTCAATCCTGGTTCTTTGTAACTTTGTTTTAAAAGGTGCTATACAAATAAAATCATCTATTATTATAGATATAAAGTAAGAGAAGCTCCAGACTGACCTGCACTGGGTTCAGAAGGGTGCGAAATTCTCCCAGCAAAACCTCCCCCATGTTGTTTCCGCTACGTGTGTTAGCCAAGACCAAAACTGGAGTCCAGCCACTGCCACAGGACGACGCCAGCTACAGAAACACACACAACATTGCTTAAAACAGTCCTGGGACAGCATGTAAAAAAAAAAAAAAAAACACACTAGGAGTCCACTGTGGCTCCAAACAACGCGGTCATATCTCCAGCACCTTGCTGTACTCGTCTGGGTGCCTGCGACGGAGCTTGTTGACCCGGTAGAGGTAGTGAGGAGGGATAATGAGGCTGTGGAACTCGCCCAGGTCACACTGGTCTGCGTCCGGCAGGCTGTCCATGCAGTCGTCGTGCACTGTGGCCTGACACCACACACACCTGCAGGAGAGACACAAACCTATAAATGAGAAAATACACAAAAGCAATTCCTGCAGAAGGGAGCAAGACCCCCGAGTCTTTACTGGCTGCAGTGGTGCCTGTCTGTCAGTCTCTGACACTGACCTGTGACCTGTATAGCGGTCATCCTTAGCATCAGCAGATCAATTCATCTGACAATATGAAATAAGGCCAGTACAGAGAGCAGCAGCAGTCCATTAGTGCAAATTAAAGGCAGATTAACATAAAATGACGTTGTATCCCATTATGATATGACAACCTTGGAGGGTTGGAGTGTGAAGCATGCTGGGATCATGCTTTTCCTTTCATATTTTACAAGTATGTCAGTGTGTAGGCAAGGAGCTCTTCACGGGTGCAAAAAGAGCAAACGCGTGTGTTCTGCGCAGATACGCAGCTGCAGATGTGCAGCACACACATTAAACTGCAACCTGTAGCACTACCTACGCTCACCTGAAGTCGCAGAGCTTCGGCTGGGTCCCACACTGCTGTTTGCATACTGCACAGTAGCTGGCGAGGGGGACATTTCCGCGGACCCAGCGGTGCTCCATGGCTCCGCCGGGACTCGAGGGGGCCATGATCTCCTTGCAGGTCAGGCTCCGGTCGGCCCGGCGCAGGCACTGCTCGTCGGCGCACACGCCGCAGCAGTCGCAGAAAGCCCCTTGGAGGATGTGCTGGGAGCAGACGCAGCAGTAGGTGGGCTTGTTGAACAGGTCCGTGTAGTGCCAGCCGTGCTTGCTCTTGCGAAAGAAATCCTTCATGTGCGTTTTCCGCTTGGAGCGCTGGGCGCTGCACCACAGTGTGATGATGACCGGGACGATGACGGCCAGAGAGGTCCAGAACAGGAGGGTCCACTCCTCCCGGGAGCCGCAGTCGTCCTGCACCTCGTCCCCCTCCTTGTACATCGCTGCTGGACGCTAGGGCGAGCGATGGGTGATGCTAATGAGCGGAAACCAGTACAGAGGAGGACCGAGGAAACAACGCTGACGGTAGACTGGACGCACAACACGTTCTCCCTGCGACACTCATGTTCACGGACACCAGCCGCATGCTGGCACTAATTCCAGCTGAAATCTAAACATTTTTCTGTCCGACTAGCTGTAAACATGAAGACAACGATGTGACGTTGAGCCAATGAGCTACCTCGCTACCTTAGCTTCGCCAGAGAGTGTGGAAATGTCAAGATAACTCCGTTCACCAACAGGGGATCGTACATGCGTACAACTGTGAGCCATAGTGCGTTCAGTATGCAGCCAGTGGTGGAACAAGTGTTTACTTCCTTTTAATCTCTTTACCTCAACATCCCCTCCAGACACGTATTAAGACACACAAATAATCTGCTTGGAACAATTATAAAGTCTGATTTGTTTTTTCCTGAATGTGCAAATATTTATTTCTAACGTTTCCCTGCTGGACACAAGATGTCTCCTCCTTCACTGTAAAGTCCATTCTCAGTGGATGTGCACTGGTGGCTTCAAGTTTCTACATCACACTGTACAGGTTGCATAGTGGACCAGGACTGACTACCAAAGTATTTGTGGTGTCACAAATCCTGCTCGTTGGCCCTACCCGTTAAAAATCTGATGTTCACTGAGCTCAGAGAAACTTTCCACTTTCAGCAGGTGAACATGATTCTAGTGTCAAACTGCACACTGTAGGAACAAGAAGAAAAACATATGAGTGGAAGGGGACTTTAAATATAAGAATTAGCAATACCACTCTAAGAAACTACTCCATTGCAAGTTAAAGTCCAGCATCAGAAATGATAGCAGTAAAATGTACTTCGAGTATAGAAAGTATGTTTTGCAGAAGCATCTATATCAGTGGTGGAGGAAATACTCTTACTCTTTTTTACTTAAGTAAAAGTACAAAAGTATTTTACCGAAAGCAAAAGTACTCAGTCTGCAGACAGATCGTCCCTTGTGACTGATTTATTTTTATTATTATTATTATTATTATTATTATTATTATTATTATTATTATTATTTCACTCTGAAATTACCTCAAAATTGTACTTAAGTAGGTTATGGTTTCCACCAGTGGTACAGTGGCCAAGTGCACTTATACCTCCTCAAAGTCATTTCTTTAACGTTACAGTTGGTGGTGACAAATGTTTTTTATATGTTAGTGAACGTTATCAGGCACAGGCTACTGTAGTCTGTGTAACACACCTGGTTATTTCCTGTTTGCTGGGCGCTATTTAAGCGAACAGGGAAAATAACACACAGCATCATCTCACTGTTTCTATCATCTCTGATTCTGAGCTCTGACGGGAATGCTGCTGCTCCCCAGTACGCATGCGCTCTGCGCTCCATCGTGAGCTGGGTGCGTGTCAGATAATCACATTGAGGGAACAGAAGCTTTCTCTGCCCCAGGAATTAATCAAAACAACATTATCACTAAAGTGCGCACGGTACGGGAGGCACATGGGTAATGCACAGGCGGGGCTGCGAGAAACGGAAACGGAAAGAATGACGCACAATGACGTCTCCATCAGACGTCACTGGCAGTGCTCCAATCCAGCATTAAAGTAAATACAAAAAACATAAAAACAATATAGGGTGATATTTAGGCAGGTAAGTTATTAAAAACAATGAGACACAAATAAATACGATTTAAAATAAATGTGGTAAATGAGATCCTAAACGCTGTGAGCTGTCATGAACAGGAACCATGGTCAGATTAACCCACGGAGGTCGGAGGCAAATAATTTGCCATACCTTTACCACACCTCTCTGTGCAGTGTGTATGTACCCTGATGCCTTCAAGCTCCTTTGAATTCCAGTGCAGCCGGTAGTACTATTAGTTTGATTGAACGCAACTTTATTAAAACGTTATAAAGTGTTATAAAGTGAAATAATAACGCTCTGAAAACTACAACTTCACACAGGCTCCCTCTGCAGCACGGACACAAAACTTGGTAATAATGGGGCCTTTGTAGTTGACTTTAGAAGGGCAAATCCCCAAGAAATTTGCATAGATAGATAGATAGATAGAGAGAGAGAGAGAGAGAGAGAGAGATGTGCTTGCATTGCCATCTAGTGGACAGCCTCCACCTTGCCTCTATGGAGCGCCTACAGTAGAAGCTTTTAATTGTTCCTCCACAGTAATTATGCAACTTTAGAGGTGTAATATAAGGAGATATACATTATATGTCTATGTAAGTAAATATATCAGACAAAGTTACAAAGAAGTAATTGATTTGTTTTGAATATCTCCTTGGTAACATGAGCAGGTATGTGACAGTTATGTGGGTGACGTACAGGAGGAGGAGAATTTTCCCCCTTCACCCCCTCTGGACTCTGGTCAGGACCTCAGAGCAGAGGAAGCTCAGTCAGGAAAAAAGTGACGAAGATGAAGAAGCTTGTGGTGTTCTTGCTCTGCCTGGTCCTGCTGGCCATCTACACAGGTAGGTTTCCATTAAAGGAATACCTTTTTATCTGTGGATTTAGGTTGTAAAAGTCAGATGAGGACATGGTGGAATAATGAAGATTTAGGATTGAGGATAGGTTTGCATGAACTTTGTGTGTCTTTCTTTTTTTGCATGACTACATTTAGATAATGAATCAAAAAAAGGAAGTGGTGTGTCATTATTATTTTGGTTGCATCCTTGCAACTGTTGTTTTGCACCATTATTGCATGTTCCAGCCATTGCATTTCCATGTACAGTTGATTTAATTTCAGCATGCAATGTTGCTCCATTTTTTCCTGAAAATTAACAAATCCGTCATTCTTAATGAGATAGTTGGAGAATGTGTGTGAGAGTTTTGCCACGTTGCTGTGAGGGCCCATGCAGCAGCAGCAGCAGCAGCAGCAGCAGCAGCAGCAGCTCTGGCCTTGTGTTGACAGAGCTGGGTTCATTCACAGCAGCTCCCTCTGGCAGGAGAGGAAGAGAGAGAGAGCCAGCCTGGCTGCCTGCTGGGGTCACGTGCTGTATGGGCCGGGCTCCCTGGGGAGGGAGGAGGATGAATGGGCACTTTGTTACCTTCCACCAAATAGGCTGCCTCCCAATACAGGCCTGGGTTAGAGAGAGGGAGATGGAGAGAGAGAGAGCGTGTGTGTGTGAGCAGCTCCCCTGGGGCTCGCGTTGGCGAATAAACAGCCTCACATGGACTAGCTAAACAGATCAGGTCAGCCACAGCTCAGCAGCAGCAGATAGTGGTGAGAGGTTTATTCATGGGTCTGAACACAGCTTGCAGTGAGAGGAATGCTGTCCTGATTAGCCAATGTCCAGCCAGCAAGAAAACAGCTGTTATGTTCATAGAAAAACAACAAAATAACTCAGGCAGAGGTTAGACTCAGAGCAGACAGCCTCAGTTCCCGAGTCTCTTGGAAAGAGGAAGCAACAATAGAGGAAACTGCAAACACACATCTACAAGACTGGAACAAAATCACAATTTCGCTCTTTTATCCCTTTTTGTGCAGTTGATCGGCTTTATTGAATTCTTTCTAGGAAGAATTGTATGTGTGAATCACAAGATGGTCGAGTAAACATTTAACTCAAACTCTTATCTCTCTCTCTCTCTCTCTCTCTCTCTCTCAGATGCCAATCCTATCATCAAGGAGAGCGTCGCTAAGCAGCTGCTCCGCACCAAGAGGCAGGATCGACCAGTGAAGCCCGGCCACCCTGATGAGCCAATGAGGGTAAGGTTCATCCAGAGCAAAGAGCACAGAAACATTATAGAAACAGACTATTGACTATTGATCAGCCTGTGTTCTACATCTGTGTGGGTTATTTGAACTTTCCTATTCAGCATTTACAAGCACTGCATAAACAATACATTACAACACACTGTAGTGTAGCTGTAAACAAGTATAAAGACATTTAGTGTTTATTAATGTTTTTGTCCACAATGCTTGATAATAATACACACTAAATAATGAATACACTGTGTTTATGAAGCCTTTATTAAGTGTTTATACAGATGCAGGTGGGTTTTAAACTGTTTTTAATTAAATTCCAAACTCATGAACACATATCTTTATATATGATAGCAACTATATTATATCACGTTATGTCATTAAGCATTCATTATCTGTTTATAATGAATTATGGGGAATTGTAGTTGTTTACAGATGCTTTAATAAATATTTCAAAATGTGTTATAAACATTCATTATGTGTGTATGTTCTATTGCTTATAAATGCTAAATGGGTGGTTGTGAGTATTTTATAGGTTGTTTTATAGGTTTATATATTATATATTATATTATATATATATATTTATATATTTACACACTACATCAGTAGCTATCTTTTAAAAACATAATGTTTCATAATTGTGTTAATTATTAATTTGCTTTTTAAAAATCTTGAAACATAAATCAGAAAGACAATTAAAGCCAGTTATAAATAAACAAATAAATACAAAAAATTAGATATAACTTAACATAATTTATAATTTCAATTTTAATTTAAAATCAATTAGAGGTCTATCATGCAGGCATTGTGGAGGGAATTTTAGCTGAGCACATATTCACCACAAAGCTTCAGAATGCTCTTCAAATGATTGGAACAAAAGCTTTTTTTTAAATAGATCGAATCTGATCCTCTGAACAAATCTGTCTTTGCGATCACAATCTGAATCACTTAATGTAATCACTGTACATCTTAAGCCCTTGGCACTGTGCTTCACTGTACAACTATTGTGACCTGGTAAGAACTGAAGCAGCGGTATTTGTACACTCATCTCTCCCCGTGCATTTGTGCATTGTGATGCTTTGAATGCGTCCATTCATCATTGTACGTCCAAGCATGTTTCCATCTGTTTAGCTCTACTCATCTCTGTAATTTCACTTTGCGCTGTCAATTGCTGTTATGGTATAATGCAAACATTCAAAGCAGAGGACAAAATAGTTCTGAGTCAGCACTGTGGCAAGGTGATTCCCCCCTCATTCAGGTTCATATGTGGCAAACCAGATCTACATTTATCAACTTTCTTGTGTTGTCACTTTATTTTCCTCTGTCCGTACCCTCAGGAGCACCTGCTCCACATGCAGGTTCTGGACCAGAGGGCCCAGGAGACCAACCTGGAGCACTGGCTGAACCCCCACTGCTACCCTCGCTGTGACAGGAACTATGGATACCCTGTCTGATGATGGCGATGATTGAGGTCACCCTCAAGTTTTAACTTTCACTTCAAACCCCAAATGCACACTGCATGAATGCAACACCTTGCACATATAGCAGCTACATAATCAGTAACACAGGCCCTAATCCTTACACACACATTTGGAATGACATTCAAAAAGACTCAAGCAACCCCTGCTTCAAGGCTGTACTTTCTTCTGTGCTGTCAATTTCTCATGGCCATTGTGTTATATCTCTTCCTGTTTTTTGTGATTTTATCTCGACTGCTTGGCACAGCAGGAAACCTCAGAAACCTGTAAGACAGTTTCAGAGCCAGGCTCATATCGTGTATTTTTTAATATTGTTAGATATCTTGTTTAAATCCTTTCAAAGTCAAACCGGTTTATAAACAACAGTATTTCCTTGTTAACAGATATCCACAGTATATGTAATTCCTAACTTTAGGGTAGCTCTGTTACACACTTGAAAATTTTGTGAAAATTATTTCACAAGTTTTTGGTTACGTAGAAAAAAAAACTCTAGCAAAGGGACTTCGAAACTTGACAAGAAAACCTAAATATTTAAATATTCTTCAGTCTTGCCTTATGGAACAGCATAAATTAATACATTCCAGAGACCCCCAATAAACATTCACACATTGATGTCATCAGACTAGAAATGTGCTACATGTGTAATATAATCAGACCTGATCATTTTTCTAATGTTTGAACTGTTCTTTACATTGTTTCCTTTTTCTTTTTGTTTCTTCACAGTAAAGGCCCAGGAGAGACAGAGTGGACTCAACAGTGGCAGCAATGAAAAACTCCTCTCTCTCTCCTTTTCCAAAAATATGACTATGTGAAGATAATAAACAGTGCATATAATCTCTCTGTATCCCAGCTGTGTAGTTTAATGTTATCAGTAGCTTCTACATTTATTTTCTTAATTGTGTATCATGTATCATCACAATAAAATATACAAATACAAATAAATGCATGAGTGCCTAAGGGTAAAAAAGGTTGTGTTATTATTATTATTAATATTATAATTAGGCATATTATTATTAGTATTAGTATGAGAGGAGGGCGAGTGATGGGTCTTGTTATATTGCCCTGAGGAGGATGCGTCCTGCTCTGTGGCTCTGCAGTGCCCGCATCATCCGAAGGAGGACTTTATATATTCGCAGAATGATGTGTGGATCAGTTGGCACTCAGATGAGCGAACATGTCCATTTTGTGCCTCTAAATTCGGTTTGGTTTGTCGCTTTCTGAGACCTTCTAGAAGAGACCTGGATCAGGTGTGGATTCAAAGGTACAGTAAACTATTTATTTCGTTTATGTCATTTGGAACTCTGCAGAAAAAAGTGATTGTTTGGAGGTTAATGGTCGTGTGCATGTGAGGTTTGTCGTATATAGAAGCCTATTAGACGCATATAGGTAGGCCTGTGTCACGGATAAGAAGGGCAGTGTCGCGCCTCCAAAGAGCGGCGGAAAGTAGGTCCATGAGCAGGCTGCAAGCTCAGGCCTGTCTGAAGAGCCGATTAGAAAAACTGACTTCTTAAACCTTTTCTGAAATATGTATTTTAAAAAACCCACCCGCAAACTAGCTGAGGCTATAAATGCTTTGGTTCATGCTATATATTGTTCCTATAGAAATACACAATAAACATTAATACAATTGCCGCTTATTCTAAGATTATAGAAAGTGATTTTAAAAATATCTATTGAAATAAATAGAATATAGCAGTCGGGGCCTATGAGAATGAGTTGTGGATTTTTTTATTTTTCTAATTTATTCAATTGACTGAATTTAAAGTGGCTTATAAAGATCTGAGATACACGCCGCATGTATTACAATCCAATATTCACAGCGGGTTTAGAGTGGGTTTACGGACTGCTGTGTGCACAAGGGAAAATCTGACTGTGAGCAGAAATGAATGCAGGCCTGCTGTTAAAGATGTTAAAACTCACTGGGTTACAGCCAACCATGAGGCCTTCACTTCCCTCTGTCTGGAACCATAGCCACTGTTTCTTTGGAGGAGTTTAAAATAGCGCATTTTTTCATATATTTCCCAGTGACCTCTAAAGAAATTGAGGCCATTAAAAATATATAAGAAAGAAGAAAATAACCCCCAGGATTTAAACGGTGCGTTGGTGCGCTAATTGCGTAACAAAAATCCATTATTTCATCCAAGAGTGTATGCGTTGCGTTCAGAGGTCATTTAAAGCGGGCCGACAGCGCTGCAATAACGCCTGACAACCAAACACAATAATTAAACACAACGAAATGAGAAAATTCAAAGGATTTATTGAAAAGCGTCTATAAAGCAATTTGACACCAACTCTGTAATTATTACATTAAAGCTTCATGAACGTTTTCTATGAAAATGTAAAATATACTATGTTAATGGAAAACGTTATATGAACATAAGTTTGTCCGTGTTGAATTTATTCATTTATCTTACAATTAGAAATGTTAGAGACATTACAAACTCCCGAGACAGCCTCGGTCTTTGAACACAACACAAACGGATTATTTCTTAATACTTTTGAATTCAAAGTGCTTGAGTCAATTTTTAAATATTAACCCTGCTGAATTCGACAGGGTATATTCAGTCTAATCAGTTCAAATTATAGAGAAATATTCAATCTGTGGACTTAATTTAATATCTAAGCCTCACCTTGCTTCTCATAATTTGCTAGCATGAGCTCAGGCTGGAAGATATGAGTGAAAAAATACATTCTAGTTAGTTACAGTTGCAAAATAGTAAACTCTGTACAGAAAGTAGCCAGCTGCTGCAAAGGAAACATGCAACGCACTTCATGTTTAACCAATGCAGGGTGTGAAATGGACTTCATTTGATTTGGTCAATACATTAAACAGATGTCCAACTTTATAATATATACACACACATATATGCACATTATGTAATTTGCTTTTATACATTACATACAAAAACTGCTTTGCCTAGTAATCACACTGTGTCCTATAAACCTCAGAATGATTCTGATGCAAGTCAGAGAAAGCAAAGCGCGGCATAAAGAATCAGTCAAGCAATCATCTTTTGTCTTTGAAGAAGCCTTTAGAGGTGCTGCTCTCCTTGATGGTGACTGTCAGGAAGTTGGTGGTGACGTCTGTAACAAGGACCTTTTCCACGTTGCCCAGAGAGGGCCTCCACGTCACTTCATCCAAGTCGTTGTCGAGCCTGGTCGGGGACGGCCTGTCCAAGAAGTAAGGCTTTTCCATCTGTGGGAGCTCGGCAGGGCGACCCTGGCTCTGGCTCATTTTGGACTGGTGCTTGAAGTGTGGAGGAGCCAGGTAGCTGGAGCTGTCCTTAGTCCTGTGTGTGTCCATGTCTGTTCTGTGTGGGTGCAGGCCGCGGTCTGAGTAGAACTGCTTGTAGGAGCTTCCGCTGGAGATTCCCCGGTTGTGCGTGTGGTGATGATGGTGGTGGTGGTGATGGTGGTGTTTATGACTGTGGCCGTGGTTCTCTGGATGTCTGTGGGCCACTTTGACCAGCCTCATCTCCCCACCCCCCTGGAGCTTAGCCAGTTTGTGAGGGATGTGGCTCAACTCCTCTGCTCTCCTCTTGTGTGGCTCAGAGACAGCGGGGCCGCAGCTGCTGTCCTTGAAGCGGGGCTTAGGCTTCGGGCCTCTTTTTTTGGGTATGTGGATGAGTCCATCTGGACCGGTTTGCTGAAGGGAAGGCTGCTGGTGCTCACGGGCGCTCAGTTCTGCTGGTCGGATGCGTACGCTTTCTCCTCGGTTGACTGTGCTGGGTGGGAAGATGGTGGGAACAACGGCTCTCAGGCCCTCTCTGGCCCTGGGGGTGACAACCGGCTCTGGAGTTGGGTAAGTGATGTGCATCCCTCGGACTGCCTCACTCCTGAACTCATAGGACTTGGCTTTGACTTTAGCCTGAGCCTATTAGAAGGTAAGAGAATAGGAGGGAAATTATTATTTGAAAAATATACAAAAAAAATAATAAGAGAAGTGCAGTTATTTATTTCTTCTTCGCAATAACAGGCCTTTTTCACAGGAGGAATTTTCACTTTTCATAGTGGAAGAGCATGCATAAAACCAAGCAGCTAAACTCAATTCATTCATCATTCATTTTATTATTCACACATGTGCTTTTCCCACAGCAACATGTCAAAATATCTTCCTCGAAAGAGCCTATTGACTATTTCAGTTACTGTCCCGGCTATCACACTCCATGTGTCTAACATTTTAAAATGGGAAAAATAAGAGTGGCAGACACACAAACAGGCTACAGCAGCAGCAAGGCCACCGTAGCCCATTTCTAACAACAGCCCTGTCAACAGCGACTCTGGTATTTAGTTCAAGATAAACTGTCGGTCATTAAGCAATTTTCACGGTTCGTTGTCCTGAAAAGCTGAAACCTCTTGCTGACTGCATCAGGCTTTACTCCACTCAATTCATTCACGTAGGACATTAACATTTTTTGCATCTTGAATTTAATGACGGGTGTAGTAGTAAAAACGGATCTCTGTAATAAAACATCTGAGCAAGTCGCTTCAATGGCAGCTTCACAACAGGAATGACAGGTGCTCCAAAACGCCTTTACCTATGTCAACGTTAGCTAACAAACACACACACACACACACACACACACACACACACACACGAATTAATGGCTAAGCTTTTTTGAATATGCATAATTAGCATCATTAAGGAACTCGAGCATTTAGGTGAAACACAATGAGGCCGTAATGTGCTTTAAATAAACTGTTAAGAAACCAGAGCACGCACTGCATAGTCAAGACAATTATATGGTTAAAAAAATATATATACGAGCATTCAACACCGTTACCTCATTAGCCGTGTAACTCATTAAAATAAAAACACTTCAAAACAGCGCTGCTAAATGTACCTTGAGCAGAAATGTCTTGGGTTTTGGTCCTCTCTTTTTGGGCCCATAGAGCTCCCTTTCACGCTCCCTGTGAACAGATATAGTGACAGACACCCATTTTGAGTGTCACGGGAGCAAAGTGCACCGAGGACACCATATATTTATTGGACATGTTAACATTCACTGGCTCTGCCCACGAAGGCCAGCACAGACATCTTACCTCTGCTCAAAAGCGGCAAACAGGCGCGAGTCCAAAATATTTTCCTCCGGTTCCCAAGTGCTGTATCTGTGAATTAAACATGAAGTTAGGTCGAGGAAGCGAGCGCTGACACACACACACACACACACACACACACACACACACACACACACACACACACACACACACACAGTGTGGATGGCCGTAGCGTTAGCCTGCGAGCTAAAATCTCCATCGTGCTATAACGCTACACCTCAGTTTTAATCCAGGCTGTCTCGCTAGCTCTGGCTTGCTAACGACAGCCACCGCCGAGACTGTACACACTCCACAGCCGCGGGTGGAAAACATGCAAGAGACACAATGCAGCAGGACTTACTTGGGAGACCAGCCCTTCCATTTCACAAGGTACTCGATCCGACCCTGCATGCCATCAGAAACAAACACAAATTACTTCATTAGCTTGCAGGACAACAGTAACGTAGTATTAGATATGCGGTGTTGGTGCGTTACATTCAACGCTTTGGGAGAAAACGGGCACGTTACATCTCACGCCTACCTTCCTTATCCTCCGCTTGATGATAGACTCGGCAGCGAATACCCTCTCCCCGACGGCAGACAGCTCCATGTTTACTCCAGTGCTACCTACCGTTAGCTTGGTGGACGCTAACGTTAGCAGAGCATATATTTTTCTCCAGTCCCAGCCACTCTGAATTCCCGACAGACCATAATACTCCCTAACAGAATGGACGTCAGCGCAGTTTTTTACAGCGTTGCTAGGAAACGGCAGTCGGAGGAACCTCTAGAAGGACACCCATTGGTCCAGCCGTTGCTACGTGCTCGGGTTGCTAAGTGAGGGGAGGAGCGTGCGCCTCGGCGAATTCTTCTTTCAGGGGGGAAATGGTGGCGATTTTCCCCGCGCGGCGAGTGAATCATTTCGCGCAACTT